TTCGAGAATTTTGTTGTATAAAAGGCTGAAACAAGTCTATAAGCTTTGATCATTTGAGTACAATTGAAGTCGGCTCAAATGGTTTTTTCCTTTTGAAAAGTTTTCATTTATATATTCAAAAGAATGGTTGATGATTGAACTTCTCGATAACATATAGAAGATATTTCCAGAATCTTTCAATACTTTACCTGAAGATACAGTTACAATATAACCAGCTTAACGATTAGAGTTGGCTAACCTGGCACATCTCTGCTTAATTACCCAATGAATTGAAGATTTAAAGCCTAGTGAAACCTTGTAACATTTCAGTTGAGATTCCGCGAGGCGCTAGTTGATTTCCTCTACAATAAACTCGGAGATTTTATTCCTTTCAGGCCTAGCTATTGTTGTAAACTTAACTAAACACTCTTTAGTTAACTTTACAACAATAGCTAGGCCTGAAAGGAGTAAAATATCTAAGTTTATTGTAGAGGAGAGATTTTACTCCTTTCAGGCCTAGCTATTGTCGTAAGCTTAACTAAAGAGTGTTCAATCAAAGAAAATGATCTATCTCTTTGAGATTTGCATCCAATTTGAGATTTATGGATTAAACTCTTCAGAAAATCTTTTCATTTCTTTTTGTACTTTCGTTTAATACATTGATGATCGTTAGTTTAACGGTGGTCGAAGAAAGGTTTTTAAGGGATTAATAGAACTTGTAAAAACTTGATTTCCCAGTTTTTTTTCATTAGCTCATCAGAAAAAAAGGCATTTGAAAAGTTCTTAAGAAACTTTTCAGAAATTGAATCAATTCGACAATGTTGAGAAGAGTTCTCGTTGCACTGATGCTTTCTGGTAAGCTTAAAATCTAAATACATCTTAATACGTGAAGAGATTAAACTCTTGATTACCAGGAGACGAGATTGGTCACAGTACAATCCTGTTTTCAGTGTTTCTCGATTTGGTGCTGTCACAGTGCACCGAGAAGTACACTCCTTGGTTACTGAGGGGAACATGCACTGACACATGCGGTGGATATGGACAACAGAAAATGGTTAGATTGTGTGCAACGGGATGCACATGCACGTGAGTGAGAAAGAAAAAGAGCTCGTCAAAAATATGAGTTGAAAAGAAACACTTTGGTAACTAGGGCAGCCTTGATAGGGTTGAATGGAGGGAAATGAGCGATAGAAATATCTTTTGTTCGGTTCAACAATCATTATGTGCACTATAATAGGATGATTTTGGCAAATTCACTCACGGTTTTATGAAAACAGTTTCCCGTTTAGTGGCGATCTTGTGCAATACGTTCAGTGTGGCGATACGCTGTGCGCATTTCCGCGAGCCACATGTAACACGATTAGCTCAATGAAAAAGGTTTTTTTTCAAAGTAAAAAATAAGATAAGACGCTATAAATGTATCTACAAAATCTAAAGCTCAAATCTAAAGCTATAAAGCTATCTATAAACTTTAAACCTACAATATAAAGCTATCTACAAAATCTAAACCCACAATATAAAGCTATAAATCTATCTACAAAATCTAAAGCCACAATATAAAGCTATCTACAAAACCTAAAGCTCAAATCTAAAGCTATAAATCTATCTACAAAATCTAAAGCCCAAATCTAAAGCTATAAAGCTATCTATAAACTTTAAACCTACAATATAAAGCTATAAATCGATCTATAAAATATCTAAATAAATCAGTGATAGAAAATATCTAGCTAATAAGTAGTGAAAAGCTTCTAATTTAGGTGTTGGTCGGCGCCACATGGGTTTGCGGATTTCAAAAGGGACAATAGAGTGGAAAGTTCAAAAATTACACCTGATACACTGCCTAAAAGATCTCGACGAATAAATATCTATTTATCTTTGTATTGAATGTGACAGTTGATAGTTACAATCGCTTTATCTAAGCGGACCTGGCGGTGGAATTTTGGCCCGAAAACCTCACTATAGACAAAAACGCCTATCGACTATCAAGAACATGATCAAGAAATCCGTTTTTGCGAATGAGCAATAGTTTTCTTTTTTCTTTTTTGCTAACACACTTTCGATTTTAGGCTATTTTTCGATTTTCACGATTTCAGGAACACTTTAAAGACGACTAGCAAAAAGTGTCGTCGTAAGAGTGGGTAAAGAATATCATTCAATCATATTATTCAATTTTCTAACCCTCATTCGATTCCCAATTTTCTTTTTACTTTTTCTTTTTTTGCATATTTAAGAAACAGAGATAACAAAGATGGAACTCTTTGATAAAAAGAAGAAAACACAATTTGATGTTACAACAAGCAAAGCAAAGCAAAGCAAAGCAACGCAAAGCAACGCAAAGCAAAGCAAAGCAACGCAAAGCAAAGCAACGCAAAGCAAAGCAACGCAAAGCAAAGCAACGCAAAGCAAAGCAGAACCAATACAAAATCCTTACAACCTCACAATCAAAAACTAATGACTTTAAAAACAAAGAACAATTAGTATCAAAGTGTACAGGATGAAGCAGCAAATCAAGAATATTTGCGAAAGTAAAAAAAGAAAAGGAAAAACAAAATTTTGCATGATCTGGGATCGAACCAGGGACTCCACACGTTACCAGGTTTCCCACCCAAATTTTTTACCCACTGGGCCTCGAAGACATATCGCCTGCGGGGTCTTTAAGGGTCTTTATTCCTGAAAATCGAAACGGGTCTGGTCTGATTATACCGTAATCTAGCTAATCTAGGCTGAATGCCGTAGTCTAGACCAAATACCGCAATCTAGCCAATCTAGACTAAATACCGTAATCTAGCTAGTCTGGACTGAATACCCAATCTAGACTGAATACCCTATTCTAGGCTAAATACCGTAATCAAGACTAAATACCTTAATCTAGCTGATCTTAGTATCAAGGTGTACAGGATGAAGCAGCAAGAAAAGGAAAAAAACAGAAGGAAAAACAAAGTTGGGTCTGGGATCGGTCCAGGATCGAACCAGGGACCCCAGACGTTAACACCACTACCACCCATCTTTTTTACCCACTCGGCCACGTAGGCATTTGACGTCGGCGGTCTTTAAGGGTCTATTTGACGTCGGCAGTCTATTCCTGCAAATCAAAAACGGGTCTAGTCTGATTATTCTCTTGTAAGCGCACTTTTTAGCAGGAGAAAGCAATAGATAAAAATTGATACAAGCAATTGAACCTGGAATCATTTCAATCATTCTCGCGTCATTTTTTTTGCCTATCAGAAATTGCTCAACAATATTGCATCGGCTCACCATAACCCAACAGTTAGCTAAAGAAATAGAATAGAAAACAAAAGCCAACAAAAATCAATAAATAGAAAGCTAATCAAAACCGGTCCGGGATCGAACCAGGGTCCCCAGACGTTATCACGACTACCAACCATCTTTTTTACCCACTCGGCCAGGCAGGCATTTGACGCCGGCTGTCTTTAAGGGTCTTTATTCCTGAAAATCAAAAACGGGTCTAGTCTGATTATTCTCTTGTAAGCGCACTTTTTAGCAGGTGCAAGCAATAGATAAAAATTGATACAAGGAATTGAACTTGGAATCATTTCAATCATTCTCGCGTCATTTTTCTTGTCTATCAGAAATTGCTCAGCAATATTGCATCAGCTCAGGCACAAGGAAATGGAGTCTTCGGTGAACTTCGTTCTTTACAACGCCTGCAAAATGGCTTTGATTAGACTGAAATAAGGGGTTCTTTCTGGAAAACAAGAAATTGCACACGTGAACAATGATTCAAGTAACGTTTGCACTTTGCTCACAAGACAAACTTCTAACCTTAGATATCAAATCACAAAATATGACTGAGAAAACAAACTTCAAACAAAACAGATTAACAAAAACTAACAAAACTTTAAACAAACATTCGATCATCAATTCGATCATCAAAACAGAGATCATTCGATTGCAATCAACTGCAATCAAAGCACTTTGCAAGTTTCTAATTCTAAAGTTCTAAAGTTAGTTATTCTTTCAAAACTCGTTAAGTCATTCTCATTTTTTTTTGTCAAATCATTTATTCTCTGATCTCTGTTATTTAAAACCGAGATTTTTCAAGTCTAATCCTTTCAAGTACGTGATGTATTCCGGATTTGAAATCACAAAACTCAAAGTCGGAATGAATCCCGGATATCGAGCCAAAAAGAAAAGAAAACTCGAGTGTTGACTTTTCAGCTAAATTTTCTGAATGATAACAAGCAAAGGGAAGCAAAAAAAAAAGCGCTTATCAGGAGAATTCTAAGCACCAAATTGGCCATTTGATTCCATATAAAAAGTGGGGTTTGAAAAGAAAAAAAAGATCAGAAAAATCGGGAGCAATCATAAAATTTTTGGAAAGATAAGAGCTTCGGCAGCTTGAATAGATTTTTCTTTGCTTTATTTCCATTTGCTTTATTTCCATTTGCTTTACTTCCACTTGCATTTTCTCGTGATCAGATTCAAATTCAAATTCAACCATTTTCCCGTTTTCTGGATTTGATTTCAGATTAAGATTTTAGTTTTTAAAAGAAAAAAGATTAAGATTTTAGTTTTTAAAAGAAAAAAGATTTAGATTTTAGTTTTTAAAAGAAAAAAGATTTAGATTTTAGTTTTTAAAAGAAAAAAAATCGTAAAATCAACTTAGTGGACTGAAAAATGATGAATTGATTGGTGAAAATTGTCATTTTTATCATTTTTTTCGAAACAATCCAAAAAATTAGCCAAATTTCTTCATTTCACAGTTTCTTTTTTGTTTTACTTATTTAATTCAATATCCTTTTCGATTTTTCTCATCAAACACTTCTTTTATTTCAAATTTTCAGGTATGAAGACCTTATTGGTGTTGACAGCCGTTGTAGCTGTGGCCCTTTGCGGCACATACACGCATCAGCTAATGTGGCGCGAGAGTAAAATGTTGAAGATGATGAAGACCGGTGAATGGGCTGCTTACAGGTGAAAGAGCAAAAAGAAGAGTTCTGGTGAATTGAATCTCATTGTTAAAGCTCACAGATGGTGATCTTTATGATATCATTGTGACAAAATTGCCTGTGAGAATTTGAATAGAGAAACTTGTCTAACTCTTAAGCAAAAACTCGCTAGATCTTTAATTCTTTAAAACTATTTGTGAATTTTAGGAAATTAAGTACTTAGATAGCTGAAGGCTAGTTAAAAGCAAGATGGTTAAAGTAAAAAAATGAATGGCAAAGAATATGGAAGGGGAATTGAACCCTTGGCATTTTTGCTTACAAGGCAAATGCTCTACCACTGAGCTATCAGGGCCTTCTTTGCCAAAGAAGGATAGAAAAGATAAGGAAGAAGAAAGAAAGGAAGAAGAAGAAAGAAATGAGGAAGAAGAAGAAGGAAAAGAAGAAGAAAGAAATAAAGAAAGATAAGAAAATACCCGTCTCTTCAGAGCCTCCCGCCTTACTAGTAAATTTAGTAATTAGTAATAGAGTAATAAGCATTAGTAATAAAGTAATAAAGTAAAGAAATGAGTGGTAAAGAATTTGGAATCAACTTTAAAAAGTTAAAGTTTAAAGTTACTTTAAAAACTTTACTTTCAGACAGCACAAAGAGCAACTCCGTGTCGCGCTTAAGCCAAACGTTTACGATAATCTTCCACAAAACGTAAGTTCGATAAAAAGTTGAAATGAGAGACCGAAAGGTGTTGTTTTAGGTGTTGGACTACGACGATTTGGAGTACTTGGGTAACATCACGATTGGAACGCCCGATCAGACTTTTGTTGCCGTTCTCGACACGGGATCATCGAACCTTTGGGTGCCTGGAACCAAATGCGGGTGAGTGTTGTGAATCTAATCGTAATAAATAAATTTAGCTATCGTATTGCTTGAAATAAGATAGAATTTGGAATATATTCTAATTACCGTATTGATTCCAAAAGCTCGCTCTTCTATTAGAATTTGTAACTTGAGCTTTCAATTTTCAGCGCCACTTGCAACGGAAAGCATAAATTCGATGGCAGCAAATCGTCGACTTTCACCGACAAGAAAACCCCATGGACAATTCAATATGGATCCGGTGACGCAAAGGGAACTCTTGCTCAAGATATTGTTAAGGTAAGTACCAGTTTCTTTTAGTCAATCACAATTCATTCAATTCATTCAATTCACCAATTTCTAGTTCGGTTCAACTGGTGAGAATCAATTGGCTGTGCCAAACACTGTCTTTGGACAAGCCACCCAAATCTCCTCCGACTTCAAGAATGACGCAACTGATGGTATTCTTGGATTGGCTTTCCAATCTCTGGCTGTCGACAACGTTGTCCCCGTGCTTGTCAACGCCATCAATCAAGGTTTGTTTTTTTGAAATCTGTAGCCAAATTTTCTTCAATATTTTCTAGGACTTCTCGATCAACCCCTTTTCACTGTTTGGTTGCAGCACAGAGGAGCTGTTGAAGGAGCCGCTGGTGGAGTCTTCACCTACGGAGCCGTCGATCAGACCAACTGTGGACAAGTGATCGCCTATCAACCACTCTCATCCGCCACCTATTTCCAATTCAAGGTAATCAAGCAAAATGCTATAAAAGTTTCAAATCCCGCTTTACAAAACAATTCTTCAGGTCGACTCATTCAAAATTGGCACCTACACGAAGAACCAGAAGTATGATGTGATCTCCGACACTGGTACCTCATTCCTTGGTGGACCAACCGCCGTTGTCCAAGGAATGGCCAAGGCTTTGGATGCAAAGGTGGGTGGATTGATACTGGACCTTGTTCTTGATCTTGTTCTTGATCTTGTTCTTGTTCTTGTTCTTGATCTTGTTCTTGTTCTTGATCTTGAACTCTTTATCTTTCAGTACAACAATTTCGAGGGAGTCTATTATGTGGACTGCACAAAGAATGTCGGCACTCTTGACATCTCGATTGGCGGAAAGGTTTACTCGATCGATCCAGTCAATTACATTGTTCCCGATGGAAAGGGAAAGTCAGTGATTTTTCCGAGTTTTTTTTCAAGATTTACACAGCAATTTGATTTTAAAGAATCCTTTCAGATGCTACTTTGCCGCATTCCCCTTCGATTTCGGCGGTTTTGGCCCAGCTTGGATCTTGGGAGATCCATTCATCCGTCAATTCTGTAACATTTACGACATTGGAAACAAGAGAATGGGATTCGCGCCTTCTCTTCAAAAGTAAACCAAGCAAAGAAACGGAATTTTTGTATAAATCAATAAATGTTTCTAATCAATCGATGTAGCTGTACAAAGACCAAAACCCATTTATTATTTATATGTAAAGAGACAATTTGTAGTAGAAAGACTCGTATTGTGGTGACATCAATGATGACCGAGTTTACTTTCCGCATCCGCATCCACCGCCAAGACTTGGCAACTGCATTGGTGGGAGTTGAGGCATCGACATTCCACAACCGCATGGGGGTGGAGGAGGGGGAGCGCAACTGAAATGATTCGATAGGGTTTTTGAGTTAAATCGATCTCTTCAGCGGTCGACTGCAATGTCGCCATAGCCGACTAGCTAAGAGCCCTGTATATGACTCGGAAGGTCGAGGGTTCTAGCCCGCTGCTAGATTCTTAGCTTCTTTTTCTCGCTTTTTTTTTTCTTTCCTAGTGCTTATGGATTGTTCTTTTGTATTGTTTGTACCAAATTATTGTGAAGAAATGTATTTTTTAAGATCAAATTTGATTTGAGACTCACCCGCATCCACCACCACCGCCGCCGCCGCCGCCAAAGAGGAAAGCCGCCGAAACGCTGAACAAAGCGAACAGAACGAACAAAAGTTTCATCTCTGAAAAACTTGATTTTTTTCTGAAAAAGAATAGAAGATAGAAAGAATGAAATTTAGCAATTCAAAGTGGTTCAAATAAAAAGTTAAAGCTAAAGCTAAATTTGATTGGCTCTGAAATCTACTAAAGCAGTTGGACAAAAGAAAAGCTTTACAGGAATTCTTCTAAATAAAGCAAAAGATAAAGTCAGTGTTAAGTCTCCAGTTTAACAAGTATCAAAGCTACAGTACTCTAGAGGTTGAGCTAGAGGTTGAGGCTGAGTCTGAGAAGAGGCTGAGTTGCCAGTTCAAAGAGCTACAGCAAGTTACAGTAAGATCTGGAGCAAGGAGTCGAGCTTGTTTCCACTGAATATTTTCTGATTATATAGGCAATTTGAGTCATGTGTGACGGTGTGAGATGAGTGGGCAATACAAAAGAAAATAATGGGGAGAAGAAAAGGAGAAAGAAGAAAGAAAGCAGGTTTTTGCATATCAAAAAGCACATTTTCGTGCTTTATCGGCATGTACATCTTTGAGAAAAACAGGGAAAAGGGAAAGGTGGGAAGAGACAAAAAACGGTCAATGGACTCCAGGGTACAACAAAAAAGTGATGTGCTGTGCTTCTTAAGGTTCATTGATGACACTTTCTTTTTATGGCAAGTGGTTTTCTTGAAGGAGAAAGTCTCTTTGATCATATCGCAGTGAAACCAAGGAACTCTTGAAGCAAAGAAGTCTTGAGTGTTCTTTTTGTAATAGAGATCGATCTAGAAAATCTAGATCGATCTGAAAAACTGATTTGCTAGATTGCTAATGTTACATTCATAGCATTGTCTTTTACTCAATCTTCATCACATTCTAAATCAATTGCTTTTACTGATTGTCAATTTCTAGATTTCTAAATCTAGAAATCTAGAAATTGACAATCAGTAAAAGCAAATGATTTAGAATTTGACGAAAATTGAGTAAAAGACAATGCTATGACAAGCCAATGTAACATTAGCAATCTAGCAAATCAGTTTTTAGAGTTCTTCTGACTACTGAGTTTTCTAAAGGATCATTTTTAAAGGATTTTTTTTCGTAAACTACAATAATCTGACTTCTAGTTAGTCAACTCAAGTTAGTCAACTCGTTAGTCAACTTAGTCTTCTAGTTAATCAACTTAGTCTTCTAGTTAATCAACTTAGTCTTTTTAGAATCATTTAGCTTTTTGATTGCTAATTCATAGCTGATTTTAGTGATTGAGATTCAAGCTCGACTATTTAGTTCTCATAGTTTGCACTTAAAAGCACATAAAGTAAGATTATGATTCTAAAAAGCTGTACAGTACAGTACAGTCCAGCTGTACAGTACAGTACAGTTTAAATAAGGGGTGGGGACAAATGTGACCTTTTTTTTGCGCACCTGGACATTTACGCACCTTTTTTTTTGCTGGAAAAGGCCTTAGGAAAGGCCGTAGAGCTTCGAGAATATTTCGAAAATATTTCCGTATAAGGGAATCGTATGCGTAGATTCCGAATTTCGACAAATCAGATCTCGCTGACACGTCAAATTTGGGCTAAAAGGCAAAATCTGCGGAAAAGCGTTAAGTTGCGTAGTTTTTGCCTTTTCGCCCAAATTTGACGTGTCAGCGAGGTTTGACTTGGCAAAATTCGGAATCTACGCATACGATTCCCTTTTGTGAATACATTTTTGAAGCTCTACGACCTTTCCTAAGGCCATTTCCAGCAAAAAAAGGTGCCCAAATGTCCGTGCAAAAAGGTGCGCAAAAGAAAGGTCGCATTTGTCCCATCCCCGTTTAAATATAAGAAAATTTCATCCGTTTCTTAGCCAATTACTCTGAAATTTTGTCGATAAGCTGTTATTTTATCTGTAGAGAAAATTACAGAGGAATTGGTTAAGAAAATAAAGATGGAATTAGTTTGGGAATTTCCTCATGCCTAGTGCAGTTACAGTATTCTAAAAGTAAAGTTAGATAGTTATTTTGATAGTTCTTCCCGCAAAATGTGCTTAGTATTTGCGAAATGGTGTGTGCTGAGAGAATCAGGTTTTCCAGATTCTTTTGCCATCATTATCCACATTCACTTGCCGGAATATTGGAGAAGAAAAAGAAAAAGGAAATGGATCGCATGTACACTGCGATTGCGAGTGTGTGCTTCATTGAGTCGACGCGAAAACACTGCTGAATAAAACCGCTTCCCAAAATTGAAGATTTAAAAAAAAAAAAAAAGGATAACTAGATATCAATTCATTAAAAAAAGTCTAACGGAAATGCATTTACAGAAATTTAGATAAAGCGTAAGTTCAAAACCCTCGAAATTTCTTGAAATTGGTTCGATCAATTGAAACACTTTTTAGCCTATTTTGTAGAAGAGATTTAAAACTATCAAATAGTTTATAGGGCAAATAGTTTCAAATAGTTTATAACATTCATCGATATCAGGTTTCTATCGTTTCTATCGTTGGAAATTTATGAAAATGTTGAAATCCGCATTTCTTATGCATGTACCTAATACTTTCTATAGTTTCTATAGTTTTAAAGTTTAAAACTATAGGTTCTATAGTTTTAAATACAAGCCGAAAAGAAAACAAAACTCGTTAATGAGAATCATTCTCAATTCAGATCTCTCCTTTAGATCCTTTAGATCCTTTAGATCAATTTAAATCTCTCCTCAAGTAAAAAGAAAACTAATTCATTGTCTTCAAGTCTTCAAACTATTTTCTTTTCTTTTGTTGATCACTTTCTCGATTCGATTTGCTTTAATAATCGTAGCCTATTCTCACTAAAAAAAAATTTCTAGAAAATGAATTTATTTTCTGTTTATTTGTTAGATTTATTGCTAGAAATGAAAAAAATTAATTGGAAAAATCCATTTGAATCCTGAAAATCTTTAAACTTTCTTTAGAAATCGGCATCGACATTGATCGGCAAACATTAATTGATAATTCATCCCCATCATTTTCCCTAGATCATTCTTTTGCCAACCAGTAGGGTTTGGAACGAGCTCCCGTCTGGTAACTTCTCGTCTGTAGGAAAATTTTAAAGTATCTATAAACGAATTAGATCTGATTGTCATGTCAAATCTGCTCTATATTTAAATCTTCTTGTATCTCTGTTTCCCAACTATAGTTTACTGTACTATTTTTAGTTTTCTTTCTTTTTTTGTGAAAAGTATTGTAGCAATATGTTATATGTTGATTATTGTTGGATTATTGTTGGTTTAGATATTAGGTTGATGCATAAGTCTTTTCGTTTTTTTCGTACTGCTGTTAAAAAGTAACAAATTCACCAATTAATCTATAGTTTGCTCTATAAAAAAAGTGTTTTTTTGTTCAATTTGCATCTTTTTAAATGAATTTCGGTTCACTTTCAAGCAAATTCGAGAGTGAAAAAATTTGTTAACGGCAAGCCGTTAACGAATGACCAGCTTATTAATAAGTTATTGCATAAATCACTTGTATACTCTGTCCCTCAATCACCATCCGATCAATTCTTCATCCATATTTGATCAATTCTCAATCGAATTCCTGTCTATTCTTTTCTTAGAAATATTTTACCAATCTCATTTTGATTTCCAGCAACACTTAGCCAAGATATTCTTTTGAAAAGTTCTAATTAAAATGATTATTGAATCAATTTTCTTTTCAAATGAATAACAAATAGCAGATAAATGGAATTGAAAGATTTCTTGTAACAAAGCAATAACTGAATACATCCAATCTATATTGTAAGAGTAAAATGATCCAATGTTTGAAAACTTTTCCAGAATCGGATTCAATTGAACGGAATACGCAACTTTTTTCCGATTTTGAACTCGAAATCGAGATTGAAGATGAGATCAACGTGGCTCTTCAGCTTTACTTCAGCTCTTCAGCTTTACTTCAGCTCTTCAGCTTTACTTCAGCTCTTCAGCTTTACTTCAGCTCTTCAGCTTTACTTCAGCTCTTCAGCTTTACTTCAGCTCTTCAGCTTTACTTCAGCCTCAGCTTTCTTCAGCTCTCAGCTTTACTTCAGCTCTTCAGCTTTACTGCTCTTCGCTTTACTTCAGCTCTTCAGCTTTACTTCAGCTCTTCAGCTTTACTTCAGCTCTTCAGCTTTACTTCAGCTCTTCAGCTTCACTTCAGCTCTTCAGCTTTACTTCAGCTCTTCAGCAACGTGGCAGTTAAACAGCTGTAACTAAAAATGATTGCTAAAGCTTAAACTAATGGATATGGTGATTTTGTCGGGGCTGGCTGACGGATATTAGCATCCGGATAGCTCCAGTCGATTTCCCGACCCCGAAAACCCTGGGCACAAATTTACAGCTAAACATCTACTTTTTTTTACCATCTAAAAAGCAAAAGAAGAACCCCAACGTAAATGGCTGGTAAAGTGTTCTTTGTGCTGCCGGGTAATCGCTTCCAATCTGGCAAATTGCCCTAGTGTAAGTTGTTTCTCTTTTGACAATCTCTTTGACTATGAAGGAGCCCGATCAGACCATATCCAAATTTTTATCCAAAACCCATCAGATCATACCCAAAAAAACTCTCCCAAGGAAACTAGCTTCTCTCAACTTTTTTGAGCTAAATTTATCAGACAATGGCAATTAATTTTTAAGAAATTGTCTAATAGCAAACTCTGGTCAAAACTTTGACCTCAAACTTTTTAGATAAAAACCATTGTTCGTGGACAATGACAATTGATCTTCAGGAAACCCATTGCTCAATTTAAAGCTGATTCGAAAAAGATAGAGCAATTTTTCCCAGGACAAAGGTCTGAAAATCATTCTTTTTTTGGGGGCATTGAAGTAAGGAGAAATGTCCTTGTCTTTTCTCTTTTTTTTCTCAAACACATTTCGTCACGATTGGTATAACAGGGGAAATGGGGGAAAGTGAGATCGTCTGGAAGGGAAAAGGGAAATCGTGTTGCGTAATATTTCTCATTTCATTCTTTTCTCATGATCGAAGACAAGGACATCAATTCAATGGCAATGATTTTGTCGAAGTTGATTTTAAAGCAAACTGAGTGTAGCTGGGTTTAGAGGCCAAATGAATTGTTTAGCTGGAAGAAGAAGTTGAGAGTTGATGGAAGTTGAAGCTGAGTATTGATTTGAAATAAAGTGAGCAAGAGTTCAAGGAAAAATCTGGAATCATTCTGGATTTGGATCTGGATCTGGATTTGGATCTGGATTTGGATTTGGATCTGGATCTGGATTTGGATCTGGATTTGGATTTGGATCTGGATTTGGATCTGGATCTGGATCTGGAATCTAGAAAAATTGGCAATCAAGCCAATTAGTGAGAGGTTTTTTCTATAAATCCCTAAAAAAGCTTTTGGCATTGAAATTTCAGCAAAACTAGCAATAAGCTCAAGTTTCAAATTCACAAAATATTGCTGGAATCTCTTGAATTAAAATATTCATCTTACTTGAGAGCTTCAGCTTGATTTGAGTAATCTGTGGGAGCTGAGAGAGCTGAGAGATCTGAGATCTGTAAGCTCTGTGAGATCTGTGAGATCTGTAAGATCTGTAAGCTCTGTGAGATCTGTAATCTCTGTGAGATCTGTAAGCTCTGTGAGCTCTGTGAGATCTGTAAGCTCTGTAAGCTCTGTGAGATCTGTAAGCTCTGTGAGCTCTGTGAGATCTGTAAGCTCTGTAAGCTCTGTGAGATCTGTAAGCTCTGTGAGCTCTGTGAGATCTGTAAGCTCTGTAAGCTCTGTGAGATCTGTAAGCTCTGTGAGCTCTGTGAGATCTGTGCTCTGTAAGCTCTGTGAGATCTGTAAGCTCTGTGAGATCTGTAAGCTCTGTGAGATCTGTAAGTTCTGTTAGAATTTGAGATGAGAATCTATAATGACTTGGTTTATCAGTTACACTAAAATTGTAATCATTTATAGCAAATATCGTATGCTAAACAATTAGCCAATCGCGCTCCAAATCAGAAAGAGTGCTATCAAGTTTTCCACCGACAACCACTTTTCTTTTGAGGTGAATGAGGCGTTTCACGGTGATCACCGCTTCTTTTTTTTTCTTTTTATCCATCATTCATAGATAGTTCTATTCTCTTTCTTCTTTCTTCTTTTCTTTTTTTTCACAAGTGACACCTCATTTGGTTTTGGACTGGAATTCGACTTCTTAGTCTTTTTTTTTGTCGACGCACACAGATTTCGATGCTAGGAAATGATTGATAGGGTTTTAAAAACGAGAAATTTCATTGATCAATGAAATGAAGATGATAAAGCTGAAGATGATGAAGTTTTCAGTCTTGATAGTCTTGATTGTGCTTTGATTCTTGATAGTTTCAAATTGTAATGCATTTTTTGAAAGAATAGTTGTTGTAAGTAATAATTTATTGCTTGAATAAGCAGTATTCGTTTGTCCCCTATACGCAAATAATGATATAAATAATAGTAATAATAATCGTTGATCGTTTTTATTTTCCGGCGTATCCACCAGGAGCCGATTGGATCTGAAAATTGAGTGTAAAGGCTTCAACATTTAGCTAAAGTTGGCTTTAGTTGAGATACTTTAGCTCTAAATACAAGTTCTTAACAATATCTCAATAAAGTACAATAAAGTACTTCAGAGATTGGCTTCAGAGCAGATTGGCTTACAGTTTTCAAGACCAAATGCTAAGGCTAACTTTAGTTTTAGGTGACTGAAAGAATTCTAGAGTAATACTAAGTACAATACTTCAAGATTGACTTAAAATTTAGAGTAGTTTCACGTAAAATACGCTTACAATCAGTATGAGTAAAGTTTTAAGTACACTTTGACCGTTGAGTTGAGTAAACTAGTACCGTCTAGGTAGATTTTAAATGCTTTCTGATAACTTACTGGGGCAGCTGGAGCATACTGAGCTGGTGGGGCTTGAACCTGAAAAAAGAAACGGTAAAACGAGTCAAACCTATTTTCAGCTTCTCAACTACCCTGAGATAATTAAATTTACAATAGTTAACTGTCAATGATCAACTCACTGGAGCAGGAGCTGGGGCGAATTGAGCTGGAGCCTGGAAAGGAAAACATTACGCAACATTACGAAAACATCCATTTTGAACTTATTAACGTTAGTATTTGAAGTCTAAATCTACAGCTAATATGGTTGTGCCATTTCAAACAAAAAAAATCAAAAATTGAGTGCAACTACGGGGAGTCGAACCCGGGCCGTGTGGGCTGTAGACAAGCGCGCCCCTGACTGCACCACGGCGAGAAAGCTCCTGCTTGGTTAGAAACCCGTTTACAGCCGCGTAAGCTGGTGTAGCCAGTTTAGATCTAGGCTAGGCTATAATTCAACTTACTGGAGCTGCGAAAGAGGCAGGGGCAGCTTGAGCAGAGTATCCACCGGAGGGAGCTCCACCGAAAGCAGGGGCTGGAGCTGGGCCAGAGTATCCACCGGCTGGAGCACCACCGAAGGATGGAGCTGGAGCAGAGTATCCACCAGCTGGAGCACCACCGAAGGCTGGAGCTGGAGCAGAGTATCCACCGGCTGGGAGTGGGGGTGGTGGTGGGGCTCCGCCAAAGCTTGGAGCTTGAGCATATCCACCGCCTCCACCGAACGATGGTGGGGGAGCAGCATATCCACCTCCTCCTCCTCCGCATCCTCCACCGCATGGGGGTGGGGGTGGAGCGCCGCATCCACCTCCGCAGCCACCTCCTCCTCCGCCGCATCCGCCTAAAATTTTGTATTACAATCTACAATAAGCCTTTACATGGGCTAGGGAGTGATGGAAGTGAGAATCTTGGGAGAGAGAATTGTGGGAGTTGAAGTCCGCATCCGCATGGGGGTGGTGGTGGGGCACATCCTGAAGAAATACATACAAATTGTTAGTGATAGAGAGATAAAGAACTAACCGCAACCGCCTCCAAAGCTGGGCAATGATGGAAGAGAAAGTGGTGGGAGTTGAGGCAACGACATTCCGCAGCCACATGGTGGTGGTGGAGGGGCACATCTAAAATGGAAAACAAATAGAATGGATAAAACTATCAGCTATGAACTACCAAATAGTAGGTAAAGACTAGCTGATATCTAGCTGAAATCTAGCTGATAGCTTTCAGAAAACGGTTTGATAACTCACCCGCATCCACCGCCGCCGCCGCCGAAAAGGAAAGCCGAAGACGCTCCAAACAGTGCAAACAACACCAACATCTCTAAAAATATTTCTATAAACTGTATAAACCATATAAAGCTTGAGATATGATAAAGATTATGAAGTTTTTCGGGCAGCCCGCCCCTGCTTTATAGTGGGGGGAGTTGTGAGTGATGATGAGGGTTGAGGTGGAGGAGGGAGCAAGTCTCCGCCCTGTAGAAGGCTGTAGAAGGCGGACAGAAAGCTGACAGAAGGCTGACAGAAACCTCACAGAAAGCTGACAGAAGAAACCCATCTCAAATCAGACTCAGAAAGAGATGAAAAATGAAATGGAAACCTTTAGTGGAAAGAGAGAAAGAAACGAGGTTGGCATCACCCACGGCGATTTTCTTTTGCTTCTTTCGGCTCCTTTCCTTGGAGTCTTTCTCAAAACCCTGCCAATGTCACAATGGGCGGAAGGAAAGAAAATATGGCAAGATCTCAAGTACAGCAGGCTACTATGGACTGAATTGGATGTAGTAGATTGTTGAAGAAAGTTACAAGAATGATGCAAAGTTACTCATATCATACTGTACAACAAGAGTGTGACTATCTCGAATACTGTGTTTTCTAAAATGTATCTACTTTTGAAAACTATCGTACATAGATATCGTAAAACGTAATCTATGTACAAATTTATACAGTAAATACTGTAATTCAACGGAATCCCCTCGTTCAGTCGCGTCGTCTAACTTCTTTTTAGAAAATCATCTTTTTCTCAGCTCCTAGATTTTTCTTAACTACACTTTTAGTATCAAAAAAAATACTAGATTTCAATGGCTATTATTTGATACATAAACGCACACTTTAGCATAAACCAGTGCAGAGAACGGAGCGTGTAAAGTTAGACTACGCGGCAATACCCTGTCATTATGTGAGGGCACTACTATTAGAGGTACAGCACTGGACAATGAAATATGATATTTGAAAAAAGATCGTCACTTTCGCGCGTCTGTAACTCCCTTGTCTTTGAGTTTAAACTATTAGTGTTATACATTTTCTGGAAGCTCTTTTCTAGGGCTACACAATGGTAATATTAATATTTAGAAATACGGTAAAGACAAGGGAGTTACAGACGCGCGAAAGTGACGACCTTTTTTCAAATATCATATTTCATTGTCCAGTAGTGTATTACGTTATGAAAATGACAGAATCAAAGCATAATGAAAGTAGGAAAAGAAAGAAAGTTTAAGAGAATCAAGTCCGAGAATGCACCCAGCCTACATAGACATAAAACAGCGCGGAGAACAAAGCTTGTAAAGTTAAACTACTCCGGTAATACTCCGTTATTATGGGAGTGCCGTTCTATTAGAGCGTTTACGGTATGAACAAAAGCTAGTTTTGTATTGAAGAAATTCCTTCAACTTTTCTGAATCTATATGAAAAGATAGATAACAACTGATCTAATCAAATCAAAAAAACTTTAAAATTCAAATAGTAAATTTATCGGAAGGATTAAAGGTTGTTTTAGATGAAATCATTAGTGATGGCTCTTTGAGAATCTTCTTTGCCGAGAGAAGGCCACAAAGGATTCGAAGCTAATATAAAATCAATGATTAACCCCCTCCCGATTCCCCATTTCAATAATTAAATGTTAATTTAGATTGCTATGTATTAGGTTGGTAAAAAAGAAATGCGCGTTTTCGTTAAAAGTTTATTTGATTATAAAAACAAGATAACAATACGTTAATCCAAATGGTATTCGCCATCTGCATCAATGACTTGTCGCCAACGTTCACGCAAAGAATGGATGCCCTTCTTGAAGAACTCGACCGGCTGCGACTCGAAGAAGTTGGACACCCAAATTTGGACCTCGTCGCGGTTCTTGAACTTTTTCTCGGCCAAGGAATGGTGCATTGATCGGAACAGATGGTAGTCGGAAGGCGCCAAGTCTGGGCTGTATGGTGGATGAGGCAGAACTTCCCAGCCCATTTCTTCAATTTTCTGCTGGGTGATTTTTGCGACATGCGGCCGAGCGTTGTCGTGGAGGAATTTTGTCGACGCCGTATCCACACCTTGACGTCGCGGCGCCTGGTCCAGGCGGTCCAATTGGCCTTGGTAGAGGTTCGCCGTAACTGTTTGACCCGAATCCAGAACCTCAAAGTACACCAGGCCTTTACTGTTCCACCAAACACAAAGCATCACCTTTTTTCCGTGGATGTCCGGTTTTGGAGTCGGGTTTGAAGCTTCACCGGGGTCCAACCACTGCCGCTTTCTTGCTGTGTTGTCGTGTATCATTTTCCTTTTTCAAAAAAATCCTAAATTCCAGTTGAGAATGATTGCAATAGTCAATGTACATTATGTACATTAAATCAATGTACATTCAATCCATTCAGCTTTTCATCTAGTCAATGTTATGCAGATAATGTTATGTAGATTTGTTTTTTTCTTCTTTTTCCGTTCTCCTAAGCTTTCTCCAAGCTTTCCTTCAAAAACTAAATCTCTAGTTCTTATCTAGTCGAAAAAAAATGAGAAATGCCATCCGTATCCGTACAAACTCCTTTTCCCTGCGCGTATTTCGATCTTTCGGCGCTCGATCGGCAGGATTGAGAGACTGAGGCTGAAAATAAGACTGAAATTTTCTCCCCATATCAGCCACTAGCCCACAAAGCACTCGAGGAAACGGGGATTTTTATGCCTTTGGCTTCACCCAGCTCACTTAGCGCTCAATTCGGGCAATTGTTTTTGGGTGAGAGTGAAGATGGATAGCTTTTGCGTTTTTGCGAAGATCTTTCCACGCACACTTTTACCCTTTGGAATTTGTCTGAAAACGAGAAAATTATTGAGGAAAGGAAAGGAAAATAGATCAAGAACTTATTGATTTCTAAAAAAATTCTTATTTAGCTCTAAAATGAGTTTTTTAGAGCTTAGAAAAGTGTTGAGTTGATATTTTGAAGCTAAACTTGTTAGAAAATTGTTTTTTTTATCGATTTATAGTATTATAGATAGAAAATCTTAAGTAAATTTCTATTAAACTTGCAAAGTTGTACAGAAAGAAAGGTAGAATTGCTTGATAAAGGACGTACCGTAAATCCTGTAATAGTACCCCACACCCCGCGTACAGTCGCGTAGTCGCAAAAGTTTTTTAGTATTTCATTTTTTTCAAAGCGCCCGTACCTTCAAAAAATGCGTCTTTGGTATCAAAAAATAGCCTTGAATTTCAGCTATTTTTTGATACCTAAGCACGCATTGTAGCTTAAACCAGTGTCGAGAAAAACTCGTCCAAAGCTAGACTACGCAACGCTCCGCACCGTGATTATGCAGGTGGGGTACAATTACAGGATTTACGGTTGGTTCTTCTTGACAAAAGCAGCGTTACTTAACTTTCAAAAGTTGGCAAATTTTAGAAAATGGTTTAGTCGATAGAAACCCTAATCCAAAGACATGTAGAATGAAAAATTCAATCTAAATTAACTAATTCCAGCTGGGAACAAAGTAGCCATCGTACATCAAGAGCTTTCTAAAGCAACCGCTCGAAAACATCAATGCTCTTTGCTCATAAATGCTCACAAAAAAAATAGCCCTGAATTTCAGCTATTTTTTGATGCCTAAGCGCGCATTGTTGCGTAAACCAGTGTCGAGAAAAACTCGTCCAAAGCTCGACTACGCAACGCTCCGCACCGTCATTATGGGGGTGGGGTACTATTACAGTATTTACGGTAATTCTTTCTTCTTCTTCACATGACACATCATTTCTTCCACTCATTTGCGCATTTCAATCAGTTTCTTCGAATCATTAGATAGAATTTAATGTTTATAGAAAAAAAGTCCAATTTTTAGAAAATCATGCTTTTTAATAGAGGTTTATGGTTGATTTTGATTTTTATTAAACGTGCGTTTCCTAAAAAAGTCTCAAAAATTCATTCTAGACGTCTAAACGATCAAATCCTTTCTTTTGCTCGCCGAAAAGCGCGGGTGAGCCGGATTTTTCGGTGGGAAGAAAGAGAGAAAGGCTTTTGATTTGAATCTCAGACTGGCAATCCTGAAATCTTTAATGGCAAACAAGAGAATTTGGATTTTTCTGCATTTCTTTGCAATTTGTTGACACAAAAATGATCAGATTCATCAGGGGAATTAGTGGAAATTTTTGAAAGCTTTCATTTCTTTTCTTTAAACGTGTCATTTGTAGAAGTTAGTTAGGTAATATAGAAAAAAACTAAATTAAGAGAACTCTCGTCATTTTAAAACTGTGTTTATTCTTGGTTTAAAACCAATAAGCGTGAAAAAGAGTTTTCGCAAAGTTTTCTGTAAGCACTCACTAGGGAAAGAAAGAGAGAAAGGCTTTTGATTTGGATCTCAGACTGGCAATCCTGAAATCTTTAATGGCAAACAAGAGAAATTGGATTTTTCTGCATTCGAATTCGATTTTTGCATTGAATCCGAATTTGATCTAATGCTATATGAATTACGCAAGTAGGGCACGGGCAACAAGATGGCGTTTTTAGTTTTTCTCTAAACACTCTAGATCTCTGTAAAAACACATTCGAAATTTAATCCTTTAGTGCATTGAGCTTGTATGATAAATGTTGTAGTCGTAACTTTCAAGTGCGTTTAAATAAACTATAATTTATCTTTATTAAAAGAATTAGAAAGAAAAAGAACTCGATTAAAAACAAAAAAAAAATGATTTTACGAGAAATGATTCCACGAGATTTGGGCTAAGAGGCAAAAACTGCGGAAAAGCGTTAAGTTGCGTAGTTTTTGCCTCGGCAGTTTCTTTTGCACCACCCTAATATTTCACTAACGTAATCTTTCCTCTAACTTTTCTCTACTTTCGGTGATTCTATGAAATTTCACAAAAAAAACTACAAGAAATAAATGGTTTTGATAAAAGTTAGAGTCAGAATTACGATTGTTTTTGAAAATGGACACGTTTTAGAAAAGATTTTTGAACATTTGCCCCATCCCTTTTGCTAATTTAACTTTAAGCTCAAATTTCTTGGTGTTGGGCTGTGCAATTGAAATAGTTTTTGTACCAATCGACAGGAAAAGACTCGGCGTATATAATGATATCAAGAATATCTAAATTGAATAGCCCAACACCAAGAAATTTGAGCTCAAAGTTAGATAGCTAATGGGAAAAGGGGCGGGGTGCGTATAAAAGGTGGGATTTTTTGCCATTGACAATCTAACTTTAAGCTCAAATTCTTGGTGTTGGGCTATGCAATTTAAATAGTTTTTGTAGCAATCGATAGAGAAAGTCTTGAGGGATTTAATGGTATCAAGAATATCTAAATTGAATAGCCCAACACCAAGAAATTTGAGCTCAAAGTTAGATAGCTAATGGGAAAAGGGGCGGGGTGCGTATAAAAGGTGGGACCCTTTGCCATTGGCAATCTAACTTTAAGCTCAAATTTCTTGGTGTTGGGCTGTGCAATTGAAATAGTTTTTGTACCAATCGATAGAGAAAGACTTGGCGGATCGAATGGTATTAAGAATATCTAAATTGGATAACCCAACACCAAGAAATTTAAGCTTAAAGTTAGATTGCCTCTCGACCTCTCGACTAAGGTTTAAGGCTCTTAACCACTCGGCTAGACTGCGAACAGATTTAGCTTGTTAATGTTAGTACCGTATTTTCTCTAATAGTAGTGCACCCCGGCGAGCCGAGCTGGTGACTATTTTACGGTTTCCAAGCTTTAGCAGAAGCTCAACACTCAAATCCCCCACTAGATCTCATCGTCAGCTACATTTTCCGACCCCAAATCGATAGGTCCTGATAAGCGGTTCTCGAGATTTTGAGGAATTTAGATGAAGCTTAGGGTGCACTACTATTAGAGAAAATATGGTAACTTTGGTTCGGAGTCGCGCTTGTGAAATCTTCCCTAGTCAGTTAAAATTCACTTTGATCACCAGTTCGTATTTCATACATTCATCAAAAATCACTCACAAGTTTCCTCAAAACATTCACACTTCAAGACTAAATTGCTACTTAGACACTTTTTTTTTGAAAATTCTAGTGATCTTTTCAAGAAGGAACCATCAAACATTGCAATTATTGCCAAGAAATCACAAATTTGTTTCTAAAATTAGCTGTACCCAAGTGTCGGCTTTCCCGTGGAAGTGTATAGTAATTTCATTGCTCATTCAGTATTGTTTATCGCTTTTCAACACAAAAACAATACTAGTTTCATTCAAGAATTGACTTCACTCTAGTTTTCCCGTAAAATTTTGATTGAATTTGTTTCTAAAACGAGCTGAAATTGGTTTATGAATGAAAACGAGGGGAGTATTTATAAAGACTGGAAACAAGTCAATGTTGAGAGCGAATTTGTCACGTAAATTTGAGTACATCAAATCGTTAGTTGGAAAGGTATCAATTATAAAGTTTTGTGCCTAACTTTCTCTGAATTGTTAACTCCAAAATTTTTGTGCTTTGAAACAGTTGTTGAACCAAAGAAAAATTTCATTACTGATGCTGTTATCAGCATTTTTTTTTATTTGAAAAGTATAAATTTGTGCTCTGCCTGAATCTCTTCATCCTTTAGTACTCTTTGCCTTTTGCCATAGGCAATCTAACTTTGAGCTCAAATTTCTTGGTGTTGGGCTATTTAAATTAGATTTTCTTGATATCATTAGATGCCCCAAGTCTTTCTCTATCGATTGGTACAAAAACTATTTCAATTGCACAGCCCAACACCAAGAAATTTGAGCTTAAAGTTAGATTGCCAATGGCAAAGAGTCCCACCTTTTATACGCGCCCCCCCTTTTCCCATTAGCTATCTAACTTTGAGCTTAAATTTCTTGGTGTTAAGATGTCCAATTGAAATATCCTTGGCATCAATAGATGTGCCAAGTCTTTTCTATCGATTGTTATAAAACCTAGAGAAATTGAAGAGCCCAACACCAAGAAATTTGGGCTCAAAGTTGGGTTGCCAATGGCAAAGGAGGCGGGGCGCGTATGCCCCACCTTTTATACGCGCCCCGCCCCTTTTCCCATTAGCTATCTAACTTTGAGCTCAAATTTCTTGGTGTTGGGCTATTCAATTTAGATATTCTTGATATCATTATATACGCCAAGTCTTTTCCTGTTGATTGGTACAAAAACTATTTAAATTGCACAGCCCAACACCAAGAAATTTGAGCTTAAAGTTAAATTAGCAAAAGGGATGGGACAAATGTTCAACAATCTTTTCTAAAACGTGTCCATTTTCAAAAACAATCGTAATTCTGACTCTAACTTTTATCAAAACCATTTATTTCTTGTAGTTTTTTTTGTGGGGCCCAGAAAGGGAAGGGTCTGTGGTCGACCCCGTCCGATCTGCCAAGTTGAGCAACGTCGGCGCGGGTTTAGTCGTGGGTTCGACTCCCATGGGTTCCCCTCCGAGCGGAGTATCATCGGCTACGACAACTACACTTCTGCCTCAGTAAATGTGGAAGCAGGTTGTGATCTGCGCTAAGTGCGAAGACAGATCAAATCATTATTATTATTTATTAGTTTTTTTTGTGAAATTTCATAGAATCAGAAAGTAGAGAAAAACTAGAGGAAAGATTACGTTAGTTAAATCGAATAGATTCAAGACTTGGCTTCAAATCACTATCGTAACTATTAGGATAACTTTACAAGCACAAAGAATCCCTTGAAGAATTTCGCTACGAATTCACTGCACATAAAAGAAAAATCATAGCCAAAAACATTTTTCTTTTGTCTCATCCAATCTTTTCTTTTTCATTTTTGAGTTTTGACCTCATTTTGGAAGGCTTGCGTTTTTTTATTATCATAAAAAACTCGTTTCTTAGTCACGGAAACGTTTTTCAATACTCAATAAATCACCTGTTATTCATACTTTTTGAATATCAAAAAAAAAAACTCATAAAAACGAATGGAATCATCAAAGACAAGAGTCTTTTCTAGCCAAAAGCCAAAAAACCACCTGTTTATCAGCTTTAAAGTAAAAAGAAAGTAAAAGAATAGCTTTATAAGCACAAAGAATCTCTTGGGGATTTTCGATTTGTCGATTTTCAAAAGAAAGTTTCCATTTTTTTAATTTTCAGTGTTCGCAAAGAATAATTGAATTGAAAAGCCTCATTTTAAAGATCAAGCTTTTGTTGGAGCCAGTTTTACAACAAAAAAAAACAAATTTTGGCTACAACTTTTCGAAATTGTTTAAGTTTTGGTGTAAAATTTGTTGTTCTTGTACATTTGAATTGTATTTTTGAAAAGATCTCTTTAAAAGAAACCCTTTTCCAGTGTTAAACAATGCTCTCACTACTCTCTGAGCGTAATCTGATGTTTCTAAACTTTTGTCTTTGCATCACAACGAATACAATCCTCATCACTCTCATTCTTCGTTTCACCAAACGCCATATGATCACCTATTCTCGGATGATGCTTATTTTTGCCTGCTTTAACGTCTCCTATTCAGCCATTTGTGCAATCATTGAGCCGGTAATTGGTTGAGATTGTTAGAGACGTTGTTGTTGATGTTGTTGACTTGATGTTGTTGTTGGCAAACTATTGGGTTGGTGAATTGAAAACTGCGGGCTATTGTCATATGTGACAGTTTGAGCACTTTCTTCAAAAGAAACTCATTTTGGTGTCAATAGAAAAGTTGTAGAGAATCAAAAATTAGGCTTATAGCCAAATTTTCAAAAAGATACACTTAGTAGTTTTGCTTAAAATGCAAGTTTTGTGAAAATTCGTAAATTTGGCATTTCTTGAAAACCAGTTTTTGAATCATTCTGAAAATTTGAAAATAAGCTTAATTTTTGATTCTCTACAACTTTTCCATTGACACCAAAATGGGTTTATTTTGAAGAAAGTGCTCAAACTGTCACATATGACAATAGCCCGCAGTTTTCAATTCACCAACCTAATATATGTTGAAGCGTGCGCTTGAAAGACAACAATAACAATAACAATAAACATTTCCTTTACCCAGGTTCTCTTCGCATACGACTATGGGTATGTGATGTTCGCCTCTAGCCGTCTCGTCTCTTCATCCCCATTTTGGTCCTTACTCGGTCTTCTCCTTTATGCCTCAGCTTATGCTCAATCGTTGGCTCTTCTTTGCTTTCATTTCATCTATCGATGGTCACTTATTTGCAAGTGAGTGTAAAGAGTGAATAAGTTTAAAGAAAGAGTTCAAACACTTGACTCTAGCACGCTTAAAACATGCTCCAGCTACCCTAGCTTAATTAGTTTACACGGTAAGTCGCCATCTCCTTATTCCCTAAAGCTTTGAATGCACATTCATGCATATTTTATATTTTATCCTTTAGAGTTTCTATAGGGTTACAGGCCTAGCTTTTGGAGAGAGCGGTGATGATCCAAAAATGAAGAGCAAGTTCAGTCAATGATCGAATCACTTTTGTTGAGCATTGGGCCCCTTTAGCTTAGAATTTCAAGGGGGTGACTTTCGTCAAGCTTTTTTCGCCATAACTCTCTTCTAGGTGATCTAATCTTTATGATTTTGATGTCATTTTGTAGATCTCAACAAATGGAACTATGAGACATTAACATTAACATTAACAAGTGGAACTATGAGACATTTACCCGTATTTAGTGATAGAAAATCACGGAAAATCAAGTTGTGGTTAATTGTGAGTCATAGCTAGTGTTTCTTTGGAAGGATCATTTTCTGTATTTTTTTATGAGAAGAAGTTGAAGCAAAGTTCATCATAGCCACCCCCATGGCATCACCAATCAGCTGCTTTACGAAAAGGGAAACAAATTGAAATAGAGAAAAGGGAAATTGGTCTTTTCTTGAAACAAATAGCAATTATGTGTTCACATGAACTAGGTGCACTCGAGAGTAAATATTGTTTTTTCTAAAGAGTAAATCCTGTATACTTATTGATTTCAATAAAATCAAACTTCTAAGTTCAACGTTTAAAGTTATTTTTAGAGCAAAAGAAAGCTTCCAAATTGCGTTTACGATTTTTGAAATAGTTCAGGGAATTTTGAGATAAATAAACAGTAAACAAACAAATCAAATCTTAAACCAGAAGTAAATAAATCTTTTCAACCAAAACATTTCTTCAATAGTTAGCAGGGTTCTACGGTACCAATGCTTTAAATCAAAATTTCATTGGGAAAGTTTTGTTCCTAGGAAAGCGTTCAGTTTCCAAGTTAAACAAAGCCTAGCATAAAGTTTATCTTTACAAGTTGTTCAATCTTTACAAGTATACTTGTAAAGATTGAACAACTTGTAAAGATAAACTAAATAAACATTAAACAAACAAATCAAATCTTAAACCAGAAGTAAACAAATCTTTTCAAGCAAAGCATTTCTTCAAGAGTTAGCAGGGTTAAAAGTTACGATACCAATGCTTTAAATCAAAATTTCACTGAGAAAGTGTTGTTCCTAGGAAAGAGTTCAGTTTCCAAGTTAAACAAAGCCAAGCATAAAGTTTAACTTTACAAGTTACAAGTTTATCTTTGTTCAATTCAAATTCTCAAAAAAATTAACAACTAACTCTACAAAAAAAAAACACATTTGCGGTGTTCTAAATTTGTTAATTTTTAAACGATTTCTGTTTTAGGCCTGGCCTGAGCCGGCCCCGAAAATTCAGCTTTGGAACATCGTTGCATATAACACACTTGTTTGGCTTTCAAAGGTTTATAAAAAATTTTGTAACACAGAGATTTCAGAGAGAACAGGATAATCGTTTAAATATTGAATTGGTGAATTGAAAACTGCGGGTTATTGTCATATGTGACAGTTTGAGCACTTTCTTCAAAAGAAACCCATTTTGGTGTCAATGGAAAAGCTGTAGAGAATCAAAAATCAAGCTTATATCCAAATTTTCAGAATGATTCAAAAACTGGTTTTCAAGAAATGCCAAATTTACGAATTTTCACAAAACTTGCATTTTAAGCAAAACTACTAAGTGTATCTTTTTGGAAATTTGGCTATAAGCCTGATTTTTGATTCTCTACAACGTTTCTATTGACACCAAAATGGGTTTCTTTTGAAGAAATCTGCTCAAACGTCCTCCAGGGACATCTCCAGTCCTCCATTTTTGAGTCTCACACTTGTCTCACACACAAACCAAAATCCTACTACGAAAGAGGAGTCCGCAAATTGCCTGTAAAATGGGCAGAAGTCGTCAATAATAATGGAAATTATTTGGAATGAATTCATGGTTTGATGTTCAAGAAATCTTAGTTCAAAGTCTCGTAGTTTTCAATTCACCAACCTAATAGTTCTATTTTCATTAAGTTCTACTTTTTTAGAGTTCGTAAAGTCGTGGACACAAATCCGTACATTGTTTACACGGCGATGTTGATTGTTCACATCTTGACTGCTCTCGTTTATTCGCTCATTGTCACCACTTTTCTCTTAGACGATCAATCAGTGAAAGAGGCATTGAAAGACGCGTTTACGGCGAATTTTCAAAACAATATTGATTCAACAACGATTCTCGGTGGATTGTATTTTGTGAGTTTTTAAAAGAGACTTAAATACTCTCTAGCTAGAAATCTAGAAATCTAGAAATCTAGAAATCTATAGCTTTCTTTTCCAGCGTCGAAACCCAGATGGTGGGAAAACATTTCTATTAAAATCATGGCTTGGCACAGCTTTCTGTCTTTTATTCATTTTCTCAACTTTTGTTGTAATTGTCTACTGTGGATTGAATATCCATTGGACTCTTGCATTGGATTCAGCGATGAGTAAAAAAGCGAAACGAATTCAGAAGGGGATCTTTCGAGCGCTTCTCGTTCAGGTGAGAGGAGGGTTAAGAAAGCAGAAAGCATTTTGTTTTAAAGCTAAATATTTCTCTTTCCAGACTCTAACTCCAACAATTTTCGAGTACATTCCCTCCGGTTTGATCTTAATTTGTCCAATGTTCGGCTTCCCGCTTGACGCCTCGATTATCACGATTTTTTTTGGTTCGTTTTTTTCGAATGATTTCATTTTCTTGAGTGAACATTTGGCAAATCAAACGTAAATTAAATCAAAAAGTAAATTGGATAATTTAATGGCATATTTGCATTAAAAGCTTTGATAATTAGGCTTGCAAAAACACAAAAAGGACGCTTTTGATTAGTGAGATCAGAGGCCGGTTTCACCACCACTGTATTAGCTTAATACTTATTAAGCTAATACAATGTACTAGAGGTGTATTAGCTTAATACTTATTAAGCTAATACAGTGTAGTAGAGGTTTATCAGCTTATTACTTATTAAGCTAATATAGTGTAATAGAGTTGTATTGGCTTAATACTTATTAAGCTAATACAGTATAATAGAGGTGTATTAGCTTACTTATTAAGCTAATCCAAAGTAGTAGAGGTTTATCAGCTTATTACTTATTAAGCCAATCCAATGTACTAGAGGTGTATTAGCTTAATACTTATTAAGCTAATACAATGTAGTAGAGGTGTATTAGCTTAATACTTATTAAGCTAATACAGTGTAGTAGAGGTGTGGTCTCTAATACGTATTAAGCTAATTAGCGTATTAGCGAAAATCTCTAATACACTGTATTACGACTCTACGACGATTTTGCTCAAAGATGGTTTACTACTCTGACAGCGCATAGGCAGCTGAAACAAATTGAAGCTTGTTAAAGGATAATCCGATGAATCAAGAAACTCGGTATACATTCGCATTATGCAAAGGACGTGCAAAGGCAAAGGATGTGATCAAAAAAGCATTCGGAGCTCTGAAACGACAATGACCGGCTCTTCATTTGGAACTTCGTCTTGCCCCTTCAAAAGTTGCTCATTTCATTTTGACGGCTTTTGTATTGTCTAGCAACAATGTATTCACTGGTGGTGAAATGCTGTATTTAGCAATTTAATACACCGTATAATCTTAATACGGTTTATTGAGTGAAAGTGAATTTATTTATTAAGTTTATTTATTATTATAAGTTTATTAAGTGGTGAAACTGGGCCCAAGAATCGTTGAGAAAAAAAACGAGTTTTTAAAACAATTTTAAATAATTTAACTAAAGTAAATTAAAGATTTAAAAAAAAATTTTATCAATATTTTTGCAATTTCTAGGAATGTATTCTTTTGCCGAGCCGATGGGCACCATATTTTTTATCAAAGACTACCGAAATGCCATCATAAAACAGGTGAATCGCAAAAGAAACAAAAGAAAAAAAAGAAAGATTCATTGCAATTGCAGAATTAATCTTTTTTTTTTCTTTTCTCAAAGCTATACCATAAAAAGTTATTGACGAACGTTGTTCTATGATTGAAATTTTTTTGAATTCACTTTTCCGTTACGCTTTTTTCTTTACCCGATTCCATAAAAATGAATATTGGAGTAATGGAATGAGAAATTTGCATTGAAAAGCTCAAAGTTGACTTCAAAGATCAACTGAAATCAGTCTGAGAGCTGTTAGAGTTGGTCTGAACAACAAAGCAAGATCGGTTTAGGTCAAACAAGGCAAGGCCAGAAGGCAGTTAGGAAAATTGACTTCACAAAGAACTTTGCTTCAGTAAACCTTGCTTACAGCAAACCTTACTTACAGCAAGCCTTACTTACAGTCCTTGAAACCTTGCAAACTCTAACCTGAACTGATCAAGCAAGATCAAATCAGATAAAGCTCAGATCAGATAGAGCTCAGTTCAGAACCCAGAACTCTTGTCAGCATCTGGCCTTGCCTGATCAAATTTCTTTGTTAAACTAAGCCTGAGAATAGATAAAAACAAGTCTAAAACAAGTCAAATTACGTTTATTTTAATCTAGAAGCTTTTCAGTTTCACTGTTTCTGTCATCCAGGCCATCCAGGCCATCCAACTGCCGTCTTCGTCATCCAGGCTGGTCACGGAGATCATCCAGTGATCATCCTTCCTCAGCGTCCTCTTTCCTACGAACAAAAACCGGATCACAATTCGAATTCGAACGATATCCATTCACCAAAGTGACAAAAGAACTGTGAAATAAACGATTTTTATGACGTTAGTTGATCGAATTTGATGAAAAAACGAAAAAATGAAAAAATGAAACAGGTGCGGGTGTTCAGATCAGTTTTTTTTTCTGAAGACAGCTGCTTTAAGTTGAATTAGAAATAAATGAAAGATTAATGAAAAGAGAAAAAGCTGTGTAGCAGGGTGCTTAAAAAGCATAGTTCACAGTAACATAAAACAAAGTTCTTAACAAAGTCCGGGGGTGGGACAAATGCGACCTTTTTTTTTGCGCACCTGGACATTTGCGCACCTTTTTTTTGCTGGAAAAGGCCTTAGGCAAGGCCGTAGAGCTTCGAAAATATTTCCGTATAAGGGAATCGTATGCGTAGATTCCGAATTTCGACAAATCAGACCTCGCTGACACGTCAAATTTGGGCTAAAAGGCAAAAACTGTAGAAAAGCGTTAAGTTGCGTAGTTTTTGCCTTTTAGCCCAAATTTGACGTGTCAGCGAGGTCTGATTTGTCGAAATTCGGAATCTACGCATACGATTCCCTTATATGAAAATATTTTCGAAGCTCTACGACCTTTCCTAAGGCCTTTTCCAGCATTCAGACTCTGTAAAGTACAGATCTTTGTTACTTGTGGCTGAAAATTGTTTAAATTTCATTTCTAGTCCAGAACAAACAAATTCTCTTGGCATAAACACGAAAAAAAGTAACGAAATTTTCGGAACAAATCCAAAATTGTCATTTTTTTCAGTGAAAACTTGGTTTCATTGTTTTTTTCATAAAAACAAACTATTTGTTTCGAGTAAAAATGCAATCGAAAAATTCTTTTGCATATTACTTTGGTGACTAATTTTTATTGGTTTCAAGTAGAAAAGGAAAGAAAAAAGAAAGACAAAAAGTAAAGGTGATTTTGTTGCTCAAAAAAGTGCCGCTTTTCGCAATGCCATTCTGCTGTAAAACGGAATGAATTCTTCTAAAGAAATGTATTTTTTTTTTGCTGAAAACATTAATTTTATGATTCTTTTTACTTTAAATGCAAGATTTGTCGTTTTACTTTTGGTCTTTACCTTTTCGATATCATACTTGAGTGTTTTGGAGAGTGGGACAAATGCTACCTTTTTTTTGCGCACCCGGACATTTGCGCACCTTTTTTCCGCACCTTGCCCATTAGCGCACCTTTTTTCGCGTTTTAAAAAGCTCTAAAAAGCTAATATTAACCAATTTCTATTCCAAAAGTTGTTTTTCTAGGTAATTTTAGGGCGTAGAATCGAGATTTTGACAAATCAGAGCGTGTGGAACCAATTTTAAAGACAAAACGGCTAGATCAAATTACAGAAAATTTTGATTGATGATTTTTCTCTTTGTATAACTCCGTCCGTTTGTTTCCACAAGCTCTGATATGTCAAAATTTCGATTCTACGCCCTAAAATTACCTAGAAAAACAACTTTTGGAATAGAAATTGGTTAATATTAGCTTTTTACAGCTTTTTAAAACGCGAAAAAAGGTGCGCTAATGGGCAAGGTGCGGAAAAAAGGTGCGCAAATGTCTGGGTGCGCAAAAAAAGGTCGCATTTGTCCCACTCCCGTGTTTTGTGTTAAAAGTGTCAGAGAAGAACCAATTTTGATGCTGTTTTTTTAAATGAAACCACGAAACTCAGATTATCGTATTTATTTCGCTAAAACTCTCAAAAAAAAGAAATTTCTATTGGCTGTTGTGGCGGATGTGTTTTTGAGCAAATTTATACATTTACTTGTTAAAACAAGCGCGTAGCAAAGTGATTTGTTTAAGCAGCGCTTTTTTGCCAATGAAAATAATCGATTTAGCCAGATTTTAATAAAAACATCATGTTTAGCTTTCTCTAGTTTTTGTTTCTTAATTGTGCTTTGCTTATTTCAAAAAATAATGTTTTTATTTTCAGGTGATGTTGGACAGCTTCAAGGAATTTTGGCGATCGAGATGACGAAAAAAGAGAAAACGAGATGAATGGTTTTTACGAGGAAGGACGCGAATAAATGCAGGAATTCTCTGAACAAAATCGCGAGGGAATTGTGAGCAAAGAAGATTGAGAGGATACCGATGTGATTCAAGAAAATGAGTGGGATTTGGATGAAGAAGATGAGGAACCACTTGGAGCCAGACTTACTTATCGATATTCTCGATACAAACAGTCAGCTTATGTCGTTTAGAACATCGTTTAGATCTCTGTTTCTAGAACAGCTAACAATCTGCAGATTGTTTCATTGAAAAGTCAAGAATGTTAGCTTTTGATTGCTATCTCAAACATAGCAAATTATCAAAGGTGAATGCTTTAAAAAGCTTATCAATACTTATCGATACTTAAATATCGATAATCGATACTTTCGACATCGATAAGTATCGATAAGGTTTATGAGATGCTTACTCATTAAAAGGTGCTATGTATAAAATAACAATCAAAAGCTAACATTCTTGGCTTTTCAATGAAACAATTTGCAGATTGATAACTATTCTAGAAACCAAGATCTGAACGGTCAAAAATAAGCTGGCTGTTTGCATCGATAATACCAAAGCAAGCAAAAGCAAGTCTACTTGAAGCGTCTCGTAAACGAAAAGCTTATAAAAGGATAAGCAAGTCTACTTGAAGCGTCTCGTAAACGAAAAGCTTATGAGAGGATAAGCAAGTCTACTTAAAGCGTTTCTTAAACGAAAAGCTTTTGAAAGGATAAACAAGTCTACTTGGAGCGTCTCGTAAACGAAAAGCTGATGCAAGGAATTTCAAATTGGAATCAGTTAAATTTGCGAAAGAAATCTCAATACGTGCAGCCGTAAAGAAGTACAATGTGTCCGGAGCGGTATATTCTTTAGAAATGAAATATTTTTTTGTGACATCGTTTGACATCGTTTATAAAATATTCACGTATATTCCATTCACTCATTGGATATCTCTTTAGAAAATTCGTTCCCGCGACGCAAAAAAAAAGAAAAAGTTACTCAAAGAGACCATTTAGAAAATTTGAGTTAACCAAAACAAAGTTTTTTATTAAAGAAATTTCTTTTAACACGTAGAAAGCTGTTTCCAAGGCTTCAGCTATCTTTTTTTGAAGTTTTAAGCATCAAAACACTTGTGCAAGGTTATAATATAAGTTTACAACAGTTTAGTATAGCTAGATCTATGACTTTCTATGGCTTGTCAACATTTTGAGCAATTTTCTGATAGCTGTTTACCCAAAGCACAACCTTTCTTCTCAATGAATGAGAAATTTTTGAAAGTGTTCTATTTTGGCTCATTGTTTTTCCCACTCTCATTATCGATGATCCAAAAATCGAGTCGAGCGGGTGCCTTAATTCATTTTTGTGTCAAAATTTGAACAGGAAATTCGTATTGGGAAGGAAATTTCCTATTATTCTCATCAAAAAAAAATTGGTCAACTGATTTTCTAATCAAGCTGATCAAAAAGAAAATAAACTCCATTTTCTCATCGTTTTCCACCAAAATTATGACCGAAACTGTTTTTTGGCGTCTACCTTTTTGGCGTTTACCTTTTTTGGCGTCTACCAATGATTTTGTTGTTTATTGTCCTTATCAAAAAGCTCTGTGCTCAACTTTTCTGCATTTAGCTTTCAGAAAAAGTGATGCAAGAGATGCTTTTTGTTTAAAAAAAGCCGATTTTTCATCATTTCTTTCTAAGTGCTGGTTAATGCTAAAAGTATGTGTTATACCTCAAAAAATCACTGATTTTCTCTACTTTAATTTGATACTTAAGTGCGCAGAAACAAACGTACTGATGTCAAGATATGGGCGTTTGTTTGCAAGTAAACTTGGACTACCCTTCCTATAGGAGGCTTCTATTAGAGTATTTACGGTAAACGAACAGCCTCTGGTGCACTTAAGCAATTAATTTCTTGAAGTATACTTAGAAAAGACTAGTGCACCAGAAAGGGTGTGTTTGAGTAAATTTTGACTACAAAGCCACCAACAACCATTTTTTTTTCTCAGAAAAACAGCTGTTTCTCTTCAGCTTAGCTTCAAAAATTGAAATGAAAATTGAACGGGGTTTTAAACTTCACAAAAAAAAAATTCCCAAGAGCTTAAAACGGAGTTTTAATTGATAAAAAAAGCAAATTCTCTTGAAGCTTTGAAACAATTTTCTATATTTTGTGCACTTTTTTTTTCTGGTTTATATGATTAGATTGAAAAATTTGTCGACTTTGCTGTAAATTGAGCTCTGGGATTAAAATTCAGTTTCATATTGGAGTTTTTTTTTTCTTTTCTACCTACTGTTAATGTAATGTTGTTTTGCTTCATCGTTCTTGGCACTTTTTTAGAAAACGATTTTTTATTTCAGAAAGTTTCAATGCTTATTCCTCAATTTCATCACTACATCGTTGCCGCGAATGTTTTCCTTTCTGTTATTTGCAACACGGTTCTAATCTATTTAATTGTTAAACACACAAGGCCACACCTACAAAAATATTCCCGTTTTATGCTTTCATTTGCGATTTTCAATATTGCCTATCCAACGATGTGCTTTCTTACGACACCGGTACGGGTTTTATGGTTTTTTTTTCAAATCTGATTTCAGATTCAGAATCTACACAAAATTTAGAGCCTAATAAATACCATTTTATTAAATAAATACCAATAAATACCATTTTTATCTAGTTTAAACCCCTTAAACACCTTTTTTTTAGGTAATTTTCTCGTATGGCTACGGTTTTTTCATGTTCTGTACATCGGATCTTGTGATGGGTTCAAAATTGCTTTCAGGTAATGAGAAAATAGAACATTTTCTATCAATTTTCTAGCGATCGGCCTTCACATCTATGCCTCTGCCTATGCTCAATCTCTAGCCTTACTTTGTTTTCACTTTGTTTATCGATATTCACTTATTTGCCAGTAAGTTTTGACTGTATTTGTTGATTTGCTGTTTCAATTTCTCAAATAACTTTTCCATTTAGCCTCAAATATTTCCGTGACATGTCTCAACGGGAAATCATCGCCAGCATGATTTTCTTCTATATGTTCATCGCGTGCGGTTACGCTGGAAATGTCTTCATTTTCCTCTATGATAACCCGATTGTGATTCAAGATTTCTCTTCACCAATTGCCGAGACTTTTGAAGGAGATATTCGTGAGATCAGCTCACTCGGATGCGTCTATTTTGTAAGTTTGAAATTTTCGGAATCAATGTTCTCTTTTTTTCTCTTTCAGACATTTATTAATGGATTAAAGACATTGAATATCAAATCGTGGATTGGGATGGGCATTTGCATGTCATTTATCACTGGCTCGTTCACGATTATCATTTTTTGTGGAGTGAAAATCTTTACGACTCTCCAGGCAGCGACGATGAGCAAAAAAACGAAAAAGTTGCAGATGAGCCTTTTTAAAGCGCTCGTGGTACAGGTGATGATTGTAATGATTTTGAAATGCGGAATCCATTCTATATTCTATAAACGAGATCACTTCTAGACAATGATCCCAGTTGCTTGCGAGTACGCGCCAGCGGGTGTCGTCCTCCTTCTACCGATCTTCAACCTCTCCGTTGACACCACTTTTGTCACCGTTTCTTTCGGTGTCTATTCTTTTGTCGAACCGTGTGCGATGATCTATTTCGTGACCGATTACCGGAATGCATTTTTGCGAAAGTTATGTATCCCAGAAAAAGTAAAGAGCAATATGATGGGCGAGGGTGAGATACCAAGTCCCTCGTTTGTTCTCCCAAAATGGCCATCGATGGTGCAATTGCCGAAGCTGAAACCCGGCACGCAAATCATACGAATCACTTCGGCTTTATAAGGGTGAATTGGGTGTGAACAAGGCTTTTGTGTGCTGTGATCGCTTTTGATACCTGTTGTTATCGCTGTTAGCCTCTTAGTTGAAGTGTTTTCCCAAAAATGCTCTAAAAAGCTATCGTAAACTGAGCTTAACAGAAGCTTCTTTAAGCTACCGTAAACTTAATTTGACTAAAGGCACGAGTACGGTAGCTTTTCTTTCTTTAGAAAGCCTAAACTCTGAGCTTTTCTTTCTTTAAAAAAGCTACCATGCTAGGATTTTCTTTAGAAAATGCTTTAATCAGTTGCTTGCTGTGCAGTTGTTTTTGAGTGTACTCTGTGTTTCAAAATTGAAGCGCACACTTTCTAGTACACACAATTCTTCAGTTTTCCTAGAACTAACTGTTTGGCTATAAAAGAATCAGTGAAACGTGTTTCAGGATTCTTTGAGTCCAAAGTAAAACCAAAACCTACCCTCATGCTTGCAGTATTGATTAAAAAATGCTTTGCTTATGTGTTTAAAGAAATTAGATTTGAAGCTAAATAAGAAAACTTTCTTGTGAAAGAAATCTTTAACAAACAAGTTGATCATTTCATTCACTTACAAACTGAAAATTAAGTTGTCGCTAAAGTGCTTCAACAATCGTTAGAGTGCTTCAACAATCGTTAAAGTGCTTCAACAATCGTTAAAGTGCTTCAACAATCGTTAAAGTGCTTCAACAATCGTTAGAGTTCAACAATCGTTAGAGTGCTTCAAATCTAGATTTCCTAAATTTTCCCTAATCAAATCTATCTTATCATTTTAGATTCCCTCTTGGGCACAAAGTCGTGTCGCATCGCCAAGTTTCTATGAGAGTTGGGTGCCGACAAGTACGACCCAAGAATCGCAAATACAGCCGATGGGTGGATATCGAAGCAGGATCAACAGCCGGACATCGATATCGAAATTTTGAAATCGGAAAGAATAAAGAATTTGGAAATGTTCTGAATTGAGTTTACAGGCTGATTTTTGGTACCGTATCGCATCTATAAGTAAATATACAGGGTGTTCCACAATTACTGATACCCCGAGCCCTCATCATAAAAGCATTTAAATTGTCCAACGCGAGCGATTTATTGACTGTTTTTTAAGTTTTTCTTGTTTTAAACATGTTTTCATTTAATAATATTTTAAAAAATTGTCCTTTTTTAAAAATGGCGAAGCCCTCCAGCTTTCGCGACTTGATCATTTCTTTTCAGAAGAAAGGTATTCCGGCACGGTCGGTCCGTCAACGACTGGGGGTGACAAAACAACTTGTTTTGCGAACATGCAAACGTTTTAAGTCTCTTGGAACAAATCAGGATCGAAAGGGACGTGGAAGTCTTGTAACTTCGGCTGTTAAGACTGTTATCAAGAACGTTCGCGAGAGAATAAGGCTAAACCCGGAGAGAGGTCTGTTCGTCAAATGGCGCGTGAAATGAAAGTCCCTGTGACTTCGATGCATCGAATCGTTCGAAAACGCTTAGGAATGAAAGCTTTCAAGAAAAACAAGTGTCACGGAATTGCCGATGCTACAAAACTTAAGAGAGAGCAGCATTGTGCTCAACTTCTTGCTCGGTTTCCTCGAAAAGCTCACCGAAGGATTCTTTTCACCGATGAGAAAGTTTTTACGGTTCAGCAAGTGTTGAACAAGCAAAACGATCGAATTTACGGCATTTCTATTCCACACAAATCAGTTTCGCATTCTCTACATCCGACCTCGGTGATGGATCTTCCCTACTTGCGTGCCACGGTCGACGACTTCCCGAAGCGCCTTCAGCTCTGTATCAACGCGAAAGGAGGACATATCCAATAATTGTTGTTTTTCCATTACTTTACTATCTAATTTGTTAAAAATAAAAGTTTCATCACCAGTTTTCTACTAAAAAAAGTATCAGTAATTGTGGAACACCCTGTAGATAAAACGTCTCGGCTATCGTAGCTCCAGTCAATAAGCGTTACTGTCCATACGTTAACAGCTAAAATGCTAAGTCATGTGAAGAACTAAAGATTAAATCTGTTATGTGAAAGATTGCGGTAATGGTTTCTCTGTGAAAGATTATGGTAATCGGGTCAGGTCAATTGGAAAGGCGTCAACGATTTTCTCGATCACACTCAAAGGAATTTCATTCCAAGCCTTCTTCAGAAACCGTATAAGACGATCAATTAATGTGTGTGTGCCTTAGCGCAAGCTTTTGACTCCAAAATGGACCAGATCGAGTAATCGAGTTAAGGTGAGGACTATTCGGAGGACAATCTCCTTGATGACGCAGTCCCATATCGACTGTGATTTGATCGGGAAAATTTTGAGTAAATTTTGAGCAATGAAATTTGTTTGGATAATTTTAGGGTACCCTGTAGAACGCCAATTGTAAAGGATTGGGCAAAATTACCCGGACAAGAGTTCTTCGTTGTAACTTTGCAGCAACTTAACTTAACTTAACCGTATAATTCTCTATAATATAAATTTATTCATTTTTTTTCATTCACGACCGTTAATGCAATCAAATATAGTGAACAGTTGGAAAAGGTGAATGAATCCCTGAAGAAGAATAGCCCCTTCAGGTCAAAGATCGTTCTCATCCACGGCAACGCGGGCCCTCATGTTGCAAAACTGACTCGCTCTAAAATAAATAGTCTTGTTTGGGAACTTTTGGAGAAGACAGCCTGGACCTCGCCCCTTTTGATTACTATTTATTCCGGATCATGAGTAATGAGCTTGCGGGAGAACACTTCGATTCGGAAAAAGCAGTCAAAAATTGGCTTTGAAAGTTTTTCGATTCAAAACCAAAATCCTACCACGAAAGAGGAATCCGCAAATTGCCTTTAAAATGGGCAGAAGTCGTCAATAATAATGAAAATTATTTGGAATGAACTTATGGTTTTATGTTGAATAAATTTTAGTTCAAAGTCCCGCAGTTTTCAATTCACCAACCCAATACTTAATCACAAAGACAAGCACATGCATCCTTTTGTCAACCTTTTAGTCAATCTTTTTGTTTCGTTGAAATAGAAATTTGTGTTGTTGTGAAAGAGAAAAAAAAGGGGGATTGCTAGGGGAGGAAATCTCCACGGAAAAAACCCTATCTCCCAAAAAAGCTAATGGCAAACAGAGCTTAGAAATATTTTTGGAAAAACAAGCTTAGTTTCAAAAGTTTTCTTTTTTATCTAGTTATTCTCAAGGTTTAGTCTTTTTCAATGTTTCAAATTCTTCATTTCTTCAACGTCAGAGCTTTTGTCCCTTAAATCTCTTCATCTTTCAGTTGTTTCTCAAGATGTTGAAGCTATTGTTGGCGCTGAGTTTTGTCTCAATAACCCAATCGACGTACAATATTGAATGCTTTGTGGGTGCGGTGACACCTGGAGTTGTCAATGGGCAGCTTGTGAGTTTGATAACTTGTCTGGCTATGTTCCTAGGACCAAATTTCTATTCGTAAGATCAGCATAATTTTATAAAAGTTTTAGAGCCATTCTAGCATTTGGATTAGCCATTCTAGCCATTTCTAGCTCTAAATGGCTAGAATTTAGCCATTCTAGCCATTTAGAGCCATTTTATTAAGCTGTCCAGAAAGTCTATTCGTTCTTTTCATCCTTTCTTTTAAAATCAACAAATGCATTAATTGAATAACGGTTTGTTTCCTGAACTGGGATCGAACCCTGACCAAGTCCGGTGACTACCGCTCCACCATGCAACTCGGTGACTACCATTAAGCCATGCCTGCAATTCATTCATCACTCATACTCGAAAGGCCAATTTTTCTGCAAAATAACATTAACTGGTTTAAACTGGTTAACTGGTTGTTATGTCTGTTTTTTTTGGACCTACTGAAGTCTGTTTTTTTTGGACCTACTAGGGCAGATCAAAAACTAGTGCACCGCCGGGACACGAACCCTCAACCTGTCGCCAACTGTGGTAACCATTACACTACAACGGACCTGTTCTCCGTTCCTCCAGAGGGGTGTTAACTCCCCTCCTCTCTAGACTTTAACCCCCTCTGGAGGAACAGAGAACGGGTCGGTTGTAGTGTAATGGTTAGCAAAGTTGGCTGGTAAGCGACAAGTTGAGGGTTCGAGTCCCGGTGGCGCAGAAGTTTTTGATCTTTTACAACTAAACTATCTATCAAAGTATTGATCAAAAGATCAAAAGATCAACGTCCTTTTACAGTATCTATAAAACAGCAAAGTTCACAGCAAAGTTCACAGCAAAGATCACTAAAATCCCGAAATATTCATTTAATTTCAAAAGAGCAAATCCTTAGGCTGTTTCGACATTGTGCTCAAACTGTGACTACTGTTTGAAGCTATCGGGAACACTTGGTGGAGCACCGTGGACTTACAGAGGTTGTGGATGCTTGAATCAACAGTACCCATACACATGTTCGGTAAAAGAAATCATTCTTTATGTGTTTTCATTGTTCAATTCCAGTCACGACAAACGCAAAACAGTGTCTCGGCTGTGCCTGGCTTTGCGGGAAGTGCTTACTGCTGTACAGGTAAAAGAGTGATGGGGGGTTTTCGCACAAAATAACGACTCCACTCAGCCTCAAATCCAGCTGGCTTCGTAGAAACGTTTAAGCAGAATAATAATTGATCTTGGAACAGAAATAACTATTAGGTTGATGCATAAGTCTTTTCGTTTTTTTCGTACTTCTGTTAAAAAGTAACAAATTCACGAATTAATCTATAGTTTGCTCTATAAAAAAAGTGTTTTTTTGTTCAATTTGCATCTTTTTAAATGAATTTCGGTTCACTTTCAAGCAAATTCGAGAGTGAAAAACGCCTTTTTCGTAAAAATCTATAAAAAACTCTACGGAAAAATTGGCTGAATGAATTTCTCTGAAATTTTGGCGAAATATCAAACGTTTTTTTTCTCTATCTTTTATCTATTGACACGAAGATAGGTTTTCTTTAGCTAAGGTGTCTAAACCGCATCATCGAGTTAGCCCTTTTTGACTACCCGACTTCATACTCTCAAGAAAATCCAGGCATTAAATATTTTTAAACCCGTTTTAATGTTATTTTGCAGAAAAATAATTGCTTTTTCTAATGAAATCAACCGTAGTTTAATTCGTGCATTTGTTGGCTTGAAACGGCAGACGAAAAGGAACAAAAACACTTATGCATCAACCTATTAGATTTCACTGAAAATGAACAATTTTGCAGGCAACCGTTGCAATTCTTCTTTCTCCACCTCGACACTCACCAGTTTAACCCTTCTCTGCGCTCTTTTCAGCTTATTTTCTTGAAAAATCTTTGTTCTATCTTTATTACAATGAATAACAAATTGTAATAATTTTCCTTTACCTCTTTTTTGTGCTTTTGATTGATTTCATGTGATTTTTAAGGCATTTAGCTGGTTTCTTTAAGTCTAAAAGCTTTCTGATGAACAGTAAAATTTCATAGCCATTTTACAACTAATACAATAAATTTCATGGTGATTTTTAAGCTCTCTTTGTCGATCAAATTTGTTTTTGTTTTTCTCTAATGTTTTCAACATTAGAAAGGTTTTTTCTGGGAAAATTTCTGAAGATCCCGTGCCTGGCAACACTCCTCGTAACCCCTTCTCGAAAATTCATTCCCCTAACCACTTTTTCTTTGTTTTTGCTTTTACATGACCAAAGCATCAAAAGATCTTTTTGTCGTGTCTAAGGCTGGTGGATGTCTAGTGCCGATCACTGACTGTTACACCAAGGTCACAATCTTTTAACAATAAAAATTTTGGACTATTGGGTTGGTGAATTGAAAACTTGATGGAGAAAGTATTTGGTGTTGACGTTTACTATCGTGGTTTTGCTAAAGAAGTGTTTAAGTTCTGAATTTCTGCAATTTTTGATCACTTGTTTGGTTCATGTACATGTACTAAACAATGATTGCAGTTTCTAGTATTGTTGTTAGTTTCAAGCCAGACTAGGCCAAGAAACTATTGGGTTGGTGAATTGAAAAACCTTAGACATCGGCACCAGCCTTAGACACGACAAAAGATCTTTTTGTTGTGTCTAAGGCTGGTGGATGTCTAGTGCCGATTACTGACTGTTACACCAAGGGTTGGTGAATTGAAAACTGCGGGACTTTGAACTAAAATTTATTCAACATAAAACCATCAATTCATTCCAAATAATTTCCATTATTATTGACGACTTCTGCCCATTTTACAGGCAATTTGTGGATTCCTCTTTCGTAGTAGGATTTTAGTTTGTGTGTGAGACAAGTGTGAGACTCAAAAATGGAGGACTGGAGATGTCCCTGGAGGACGTTTGAGCACTTTCTTCAAAAGAAACCCATTTTGGTGTCAATAGAAAAGTTGTAGAGAATCAAAAATCAGGCTTATAGCCAAATTTCCAAAAAGATACACTTCGTAGTTTTGCTTAAAATGCAAGTTTTGTGAAAATTCGTAAATTTGGCATTTCTTGAAAACCAGTTTTTGAATCGTTCTGAAAATTTGGATATAAGCTTTATTTTTGATTCTCTACAACTTTTCCATTGACATCAAAATGAGCTTCTTTTGAACAAAGTGCTCAAACTGTCACATATGACAATGGCCCGCAGTTTTCAATTCACCAACCCAATAGAATCGAACCCTGACCAAGTCCGGTGATCGACTGCCGCTCTACCATTATGCCATGCCTGCAATTGATCGATCACTCAAACTGTACCTTAAATAGAGATCAAAAATGCACCCAAAACACCTAGATATCATGCGTTAAAGGCTTCGAGGCCAAAAACTAAAAGCGGCTTCGAACTCAGCCAATTCTATAAGATGGGCCTGGTTCTGAAAGGCCAAGTGCTTGCCTTTTCCTAGGAATTGGGCTCTAGTATCTGTAAGAGTATCCAAGCGAGGCCAGGCAAAGCTAGAGTCTGATTAGAAGAGACTCAAACCTGACTTCTGCCTTTTTTTGGATCAAGGCAAGCCTGCAGCCAAGCCTTGACCAAGTCAGACCGGATTTAGCTTCCGGATTTAGCTTCCGGATTAGTCTTGGCCTTACCTGGAACATTCTTTTAACTCTACAAGCAGGAGTCAAGAAGTTATTCAAAAAATTGCTTTTAAACAAAGAAAGATAATATAATTTATTGCACCGTATTGATTATTGTTTTTTTTGAGGGTTTTCTCTCAATCAGATCATCCCAGTGTCTCTCAAATTCTCTTGAATAATCGTGTCGATGACTGAGGCGATGACAACTTGTACTTGAGAAGTATCCGTTGCACATGTTTCATGCGTGTACACCTAAAGAGAAATGATTAAAAATAGATGAACAATGAATCTTCTTGAATCAATGAATTAAAATTATGCATCTAAGAATTCACTTTCTTTTGGCGTTTGTTGAGCTTTCGAAATTGTTTTTTGAGGTATTCGATTCCATCCTCGTAAGTCAATGCACCTAGAAATTCATTCTTAATGCAAAAGGAATAGGAAATCTCAATAGGAAATCTTATAGTAATTTTATAGTACTAGGTTTTGTTACTATTCGGTTAACTACTTCCCTTTTTCTTCTTCTTCTTTCCTTCTTCTTCTTTCCTCCTTCCCAAGAAGGAAAGAAGTTTTTGTACTAGGTTTTGTTACTATTCGATTAACTCAATGCCTACTTCCCTTTTTCTTCTTCTTTCCTTCTTCTTCTTTTCTTCTTCTTCTTTCCTTCTTCTTCTTTCATTCTTCCCAATATTAATGTACAAATACCGGTAACAGAACCAGTTAGATCCAGTTTCTAACCAAGTCAATTGCCAATATCAATTCAAAGATTCTTGGGATTTAGAGTATCTCAACTTTTAAAGAGTATGGTGAATAAAGTAGTAAGTTTATAGCTTAGAATCAAGCTTAGAATCAAGCTTAGAATCAAGCTTAGAATCAAGCTTAGAATCGAGCTTAGAATCGAGCTTAGAATCAAACTTAGAGTCAAGCTTAGAATCGAGCTTAGAACCAAGCTTAGAACCAAGCTTAGAATCAAGCTTAGAATCAAGCTTAGAACCAAGCTCGAGAACTTTGCAAGAGATCAGTAAAGTGAGTTACAAATTGATGGAAATTGAAAAGTCTCCCCAATATCAGTCAGTCTTTTCTCACCTCGATACGAATGAAAGCAAACTTTGAGACTGATCGAAACAATCTTCTCAGCAAAAAGGTCTTTCTTATTCAAGAAAAGAATCATCGACGAGTTGGCGAAATATCGACTGTTCACCACACTGTCATAGAGCTCGAGTGCCTCAAGTAAACGATTCTAGAAACGGATTTCGTTCACTGATGATTGGCTTCACTGATTTGTACCGTTTTATCGTCCTCTCTCAACAATTGGTCGTATTCTGAGATGGCCACGATGAATATCAACGCGTTCACGTTATCGAAACAGTGAATCCATTTTCGTCGTTCCGATCGTTGCCCACCAACATCGTAGACTCTAGATTTTACACTTAAATTCTTTAAATTCCACTAATTTTCTACAAAATTCTATCCAATATCAATCTATCAAGTGAAAATGAATTTCTCACACACTCGAAATCGATCTGCCTTGCTTTAAAACCCATTCGAACAACACCCGTTGTCGGCACTCGAATGTGAAGAATATCTTGCGGCGTCGGCACATATCCCTCTTCACAGATTCGATCAAGGTTTTCAAAGAAACTAGAAAGTTATTGAATACATTTATTTAATAGCTTTATTTGAATTTAATTAAATTAGAAAGAAATCAAAGAAATTAGAAATCTTTCGAAAGCTTTAGCTTCTTACTATGAAGCCGAATCAGGGAGATGAAAGGAGGATCGCATTTCGTAGCATTTGTGAATTGTTTGGTCATTCCAGAGCTTCTAAAAGTAAATTTTTGCAAATTTTCATTATTCAGCTACAGTTCTTTAGATAAAAATTTATGTTTAAATATTTAATTTCGGCTAAATTGGGTTCAATGGTTGGCCTAAAGATTGAAACGAATTGTGAGCTGGTTTGTTAATCTTTTTGATCAGAAAAAAAAGTGATTACCGTATTTTCTCTAATAGTAGTGCACCCAGTTGGTGACTATTTTAGCTTTGCAGAAGCTCAACACCCTAATCCCCCACTAGATCTCATCGTCAGCTACATTTTCCGACTCCACATCGATAGGTTCTGATAAGCGGTTCTCGAGATTTCGAGGAATTTAGGTGAAGCATAGGATGTACTACTATTAGGGGAATACGGTAGCTTCTTTTAGATACAAATTCATGATATAACATGGATGATACGATGTACTCGATTTAGAGCGGTGAAGCGAGCACGAGAACAATACACAAGCACCCTTAAGCCCAAAACTAGCGAAACAAAGAGCCAATGATCTAGCCAGGATTGAACCCTTAACCTCTCGACTAAGATACAGCGCAACACTTCACAGAAGCTCAACACTCAAATCCCCTACTAGATTCATTGTCAGCTGCATTTTCCGATCCCACATCGATAGGTTCTGATAAGCGGTTCTCGAGATTTCAAGGAATTTAGACGACGCTCTTGGTGCACCACTATTAGAGAAAATACGGTAAATAGCTCAAAATGCAGTTAGTAAACGAAAATAAATCATATAAATCATATAAATAAATCAATAAACTAAAAATAAAGCTAAAACTAGAGCTTATTTTTGTAGTTATTCAATTCAATCCAATGCTCAAGTCGGCCAGGTTTTCTGTTCAGTTTAAAGGCAACTTTTTCTGTTTTTTTGTTTTCTTTTTGTTCAAATCTAGTATCTAGTCTAGAAATCATAGAAAAAGTACTCAAAAAAGCTTTTCACATTTTTCTTTTCATTCGAAAATGCTTCTCAATTCCTGTACTCACCTTGATCGCCTCGTGCAATTCCCCAGGGATTTCCCTCAAATCTTTCACTCGATCCGCCATTGCATGACGTTCCACCATTTCCCGACTTGGCTACAAATTGACAAATTAAAAATTGACTGGCTACAAATTGACTGGCTACAAATTGACAAAAAAAGTTCAATAATTCAATCATTTCATTCGACTATGCATAAAAGAGACGAAATAAAAGTTGAGCAAAATTTTTGTAGCGAGAATTCAAACTACCGTTTGAACTACCGTATTTCTTCGCATAGAAGACCGGGTAAAGAGTATCATCGCGTACTCCTGCGTAGCAGCCCTTTTTAAAATTTCTTTTCTGCATAAAAGCTTGCAATCAAGTGCTATAGGGCTGGAAAATGGCTCAAAAATACCACATGAGCTAACAGATTTTTGAGTCATTTTCCAGCTCTATAGCACTTGATTGAAAGCTTTTATGCAGAAAAGAAATGTTAAAAAGGGCTGCTACGCAGGAGTACGCGATGATACTCTTTACCCGGTCTTCTATTCGAAGAAATACGGTATACAAGGTGCGCCAAAAGTTCCCCTCTTCTCAATCACTTGTCTTAAGTAGTGTTGCACTTATCAAATTAATCAGAAACGTTTTCTAAATCAGTTTTTTCGCAAGAAATTCGAATTTCTTACTTTTAAAATCGTATTTTTTATCTAAAATTGAGCAAAAATGCAGAAAATACAAGTACGGAAACTTTTGGCGCACCAAACACCCCGTAGAGCTCGCAAAACGTTTGTAAAAGGTCGGATTTATGATTGTATTTAGCTTCTAAAACAATGTAAAACCGCTAGAAAATTAGCGATTTTAAAGTATAGATTTAAAAACTCTCTTTCTATTAGATAAAACAATACTTTTGAAAATCTACCATTTGTGCCGCGTCAAGAACGAAATGGAAATCATCGCAGGCTTGGATCAGAGCTCTCATGTATGTCACTGTGCTCACCAAAACAATGATTTTCTTCTCGCGAAGCTCATCTTTTGAGAAACCGTTGTTGTGCAAGATTCTGGAAAAGAATTCGCTCAAGTATTGATCTCAAAGTCAAGTATTGATCGTTCTTAACTAGTAAATCGTAGACTAGCAGCTTTAGTGCTCAATCTATTGGGTTGTCCAGTTATGAATGAGCGTTTTTACTATTTTGAAATTTCTCAAGATATCGAATGTATATGAGTGTTATATATCATTCGAAAGCTGAAGATCTCCTCTACATTTTGGAATAAAAAAGTTTTTGAATTCATTAAACTTTTTGGGAAATTGACTGCACAAAGGGAGAGGTCGTTTTCGCAAAAAAAAACCCCATTTCAGCTTAGCTATTCCTCAAGTTTTATGGTGTAAAATAACCGCCCAGAAAAGAAAAGATGCTCTGAATTTGTTATATTTTTAAAAAAGTTATATTGATATATCTATTGGCCAAACATCAAACGGTTAACTCAATTTGAGCGGAGCTAAAACTTGATCCAAAGGCACCCTTCCATTTTTTGGCCACCTCTTCTTCTGTGCAGTCAATTTGCCCAAAAGCTGAACAAATTCAAGAACTTTTTATATCAAAATGTAGAGGAGATCTTCAGCTTTCGAATAATACTCATATATCTTTTTCTTGATTTCGGTATCTTGAGAAATTTACAAAATAGTAAAAAACGCGCATTCATAACTGGACAACCCAATATGTACAGCTGGTTTTAAACGGTTCAGTTTTGAAAGAAGCTTGATATTTCATCTGATTATCAGGCTAGGTCAAGCCAAGGCCTAAACAGAAGTCTGGCTCAAGCCTTACTGGCGAGCCTAGCCAGTCAGTGAAGTCAGATTTGACCAAGCAGAACAAGGCAAAAAGAACTGAAGCCAGGATTGAACTCTTGACCTCCCGTCTACGATACAGGGTTGTTAGCCAGTCGGCCATTGCATCAATGCCATCCAAAATCAATAGCTAGACCAACACTTGACTTTTGGCTTTCTGGCTTTTTTTTCGAAACAATTCTGCAATTCCACAAACTTACTGAATCTGCTTTAGACATGTCGATTTCCCACTTTCACCCGGTCCTAAAAACATTGCTTTTCATCAAATATTCATTTCTTTTTCTTATCAAATTCTTACATTTAAGAATTAATGACTTGAAATTATAAAACATTTGCTTTTTGATTAAATGAAATTACCGAGTAATAGCAACTTTTGTTGTAATCCCTCAGCGCCTTTCTTCAGCTCTTTATCGATCATTTTTGACCTAATTTGTGGAATAAAATGGATTTTCATGAAAATTTACTTCTTCGATTGGTCTTTTAACTCTTGACTGTTGCAAGCGCCCATCGGCTTTGCGGATGAAATCTGAAAGAAGAAAAATTTGATTGGGCGAGCTTAAAGCATTTGAATTTTCTCGGTGTTCAACCGGCAAGGACCCTATGCCGGGGGATTTGCCAGATGGAGAGCGATTACCCGGCGCACAAAGAACACTTTGCTGTCATTTGAGATCTTGTTTGTTCGCGGCAACCCCTTGACTTTTTGAGTTGAAATCTCGTACTCGCCCATTTCGGGATCAGCAATTGATTGGGAATCCTCAAAAAAGGCGAAGGTGGCTCAGGCGCTCCTTTTTCTTCACCCACCCCAAAAAGGGAAGCAGCTTGTACCAGAGGGATTTGCCAGATGGATAGCGATTACCCGGGCGCACAAAGAACACTTTGCTAGTCATTTATTGGGTTGGTGAATTGAAAACTGCGGGCTATTTTCATATGTGACAGTTTGAGCACTTTCTTCAAAAGAAACTTATTTTGGTGTCAATGGAAAAGTTGTAGAAAATCAAAAAATTATATTCAAATTTTCAGAACGATTCAAAAACTGCTTTTCAAGAAATGCCAAATTTGCCAAACGAATTTTCACAAAACTTGCATTTTAAGCGAAACTACTAAGTGTATCTTTTTGGAAATTTGGATATAAGCCTAATTTTTGATTCTCTATAACCTTTCTATTGACACCAAAATGGGTTTCTTTTGAAGAAAGTGCTCAAACGTCCTCCAGGGACATCTCCAGTCCTCCATTTTTGAGTCTCACACTTGTCTCACACACAAACTAAAATCCTACTACGAAAGAGGAATCTGCAAATTGCCTGTAAAATGGGCAGAAGTCGTCAATAATATTGGAAATTATTTGGAATGAATTGATGGTTTTATGTTGAATAAATTTTAGTTCAAAGTCCCGCAGTTTTCAATTCACCAACCCAATAAAAAAGCTACCGTATTCTCCTTAAAAGTAGTGCACCCTAAGCTTCACCTAAATTCCTCGAAATCTCGAGAGCCGCTTATCAGAACCTATCGATGTGGGGTCGGAAAATGTAGCTGACGATGAGATCTAGTGGGGGATTAGAGTGTTGAGCTTCTGCATAAGCTTGGAAACCGTAAAATAGTCGCCAACTCGACTCAGGGGCGTGCACTATTATTAGAGAAAATACGGTAATCACTTTTGCCTGTAAAATGCCTGTAAAATGGGCAGCAGTCGTCAATAATAATGGAAATTATTTGGAATAAATTGATGGTTTTATGTTGAATAAATTTTAGTTCAAAGTCCGGCAGTTTTCAATTCACCAACCCAATACATTGGATTCTTTTTCTTTGTAAAAAGAAGATATTCAGCTGTAAATTTGTACCCAGGGTTTTTCGGGGTCGGGCATTCGATTGGAACTATTCACTTGAGTCTACAAATTTCAGAACTACTTCCAGTTCTATTTCCAGAAGTACCAATGTTTATCCGATCAGCTTGATATCATTAAAGAAACTCAGCTAATTATATTGGAATTGAGCTGATTAGATGCAAACTGGTAGCTTGATTTTTGAAAATAAAATAGGAATACATTCTAATTATAAAACTATCGCAGATCCAGTACATTTTTCCAGATTGTAACGCGATGAATAAATCATTTCCAAATTTTTAAATGAAATTTTTTTCACTCAAGCGAATCGCTATTGTTTTCAAGTTCAAGATTAAGATCTTTTTTGAATTGCGATAAATTTGTAAGAAACTACATGAAAATTCATCAAAAACTCACCCCAATCTTTGCTCGTTTCTCTTCTTTTCGCTTCACAACAATCAATTAGAAAAATCGATTAGGGAAAGTAAAATAAACGTCGCTGAGAAGGAAAAAAAATGATGTAAGATTCACCGTAAAGCTGAAAATCTAATTAAATAAGGTTTAATTGAAAAACTATAAAACTTCTGAAACTGTGAGTTCAAAAAAAAAAGCAGAAAGAGTTCTCAGAGTAAAATTATGGAACAGGTGCAATGAAACATTTTACTCGAAAATTGAAAAGAAAAAGACAAGTAAAGATTAAAGAAACAAGGTTTTTTCCCACAAGAAATCCGTATAATGAAATTTTTAATAAAACGATCGTCTTGCCAAGTAAAGTTGCAAAAATGGGATACTCTTACAAGTATTTACAATCTACAGTGCCGCTCAAAGGTAATGGCCCCCCTTAAACTTTTAGGTGAAGCTAAGGGAGCACTACTATTAGAGAAAATACGGTATTTGTTTAGATTACATTGACTTTACTTGATATAACTATTCTACTTATTCTACTAACTATTCTACTTATTCTACTTATACAGTGCCGCTCAAAGATAATGCCCCCCCTTAAAGGCCCCCTCTTCAGGTTTTTCATATAAAACAAATGCACAGAGTAATATTTTTAAAGACAAAATCTAGTTTTCTCATAAATATGCATAAATATTTTGGTTTCAGCTCATTTTGAATGCTTTCTAAAAAGTGACACATAAAAGAAAGCTTAGGCTCGCTCAAAAGTAATCGCCCCCTAAGCGTTTGTGTTGGACAACTTTCATAAATCAATTTTTTTCTAATTTTATAGTTTATTTCTAATTTATTTTGATTTTTTTTTTCAGATATGGGCAAGAAATATTATCCGCTTGCTGTACGCAAAATTCTTCTCGATAAGGTTTCCTCTGGATCGAGTGTCAAAAGAGCGGCAAGAAGTTTTGGAATCCCATTCACTACGGCAAAGCGCTGGAATCGTGCCTACAAAAAGAAAAAGGTTTTGGAGTTCACGTACAAGAAAGGACGCAACAAAATTACTGACGAAAGATATGACGGAATGCTCGTTCTCGAAAGTAAATCGAATCCTCGTTTAACAGCGAAATTCTGCAAAATACTCCACATCCCGATGGTGTGCAACTTTCCATTTCTACTATAAAGTGAAGACTTGTCGATTCTGGATTATTGGCTCAAAGAATGGCTCAAAGAAGCCGCTTATCTCAAAGAAAAATCAGAAAAAAGCATCACAAATGCCGAAAAGTATGTGGATATCTTGGAAAATTATATGTTGCCTTATGCTAAGCAAAATTTGCCTAACGGATGGACTTTTCAACAGGATCGTGACCCCAAACACACAGCCCAACAGACTAAAAATTGGTTCAATCGAAATCGCGTGTCCATTCTTCAATGGCCTGCTCAGAGCCCCGATGCAATGGAAGTATGGATGGAAGTACTTAAAGAAAAAATGCCAAGGATATAAAGCAAAAAATTCTGATAATTTGTACCGGAAATTACAAGAAGAGTGGGCAAAAATTGACGCAGGAGTATCAAAAAGCTTGTTGAATCGATGCCTCGGCGAGTTTAGGCTACTATTCATGCAAAAGGTCAAAATACAAAATACTAGTTCTTTTTCGATTTTGGTTCTATTTATACTGTTTTTGTTGAATAAATATCTTTTACGCCTCGAAAACTTTTACAGCATTGGCAAGGGGACCATTACTTTTGAGCGACCTTAAATTTCCTTTTTTTTGTCATCTTCTAGAAAGCATTCAAAATGAGCTGAAACCAAAATATTTATGCATATTTATGAGAAAACTAGATTTTGTCTTTAAAAATATTATTCTGTGCATTTGTTTTATATGAAAAACCTGAAAAGGGGGCCTTTAAGGGGGGGGGGGCATTACCTTTGGGCGGCACTGTATAAGTAGAATAATTATATCAAGTAAAGTCAATGTAATCTAAACAAATACCGTATTTTCTCTAATAGTAGTGCTCCCTAAGCTTCACCTAAATTCCTCGAAATCTCGAGAACCGCTTATCAGAACCTATCGATGTGGGGTCGGAAAATGTAGCTGACGATGAGATCTAGTGGGGATTAGAGTGTTGAGTTTCTGCGAAAACCTAGAAACCATAAAACACTCATACTATTGGAGAAAATACGCTAAATCTAGGCTAACTTTAAAGTTGAAGCTTTGTTGAAGCAATACGACTTTGATTTTTCAACTCAGCTAGAATCTGCTGTTGTATTTGTCTGTTTCTGAAGAAGCTGTTCATTTTTCTGTTTGGAAATTGAGTGCATTAAACTGGCGCGCACAAAAAAACCACTCCAAAATCAACTTTCCATAACAATTTCATAAAAAGAATTAGAGATTCTGGGATACTCTTGCAGTATTTCATGATTACTATATATTTAGTCATAAAAATCTATTTATAAAGTCTAACAATTCCGTTATTTGGCATTCGAAAAGCTAAAACAAATGCAAAATTGAAGATCTATGAATATTTTGTTCAATTCTGACTTCATCAAGTAAATAAAAATAGAAAAGTGAGCAGCTTTGCGAAAGACGATTTATCATACTTATATCATACGATTTATCATACTTGGTAAATTATTTATATTTTAAAAGCAGGCGAAAAGGAAATGAGCGCTTTAGATGTGCGAATGTATTTCCACGGGAAAAGGAAACTTTTCACACATGATTGATCAATTGAGAGGCCTTTTATAGCTTTTGTAAGTAAAAGTCTGAATATATTCGCTTGATTGAGTTGAAAATAGTTGATCGGATTGGAAAATATGTTTACGTGATAATGGGAAAAAAATGGATTCTTGTTGGGAGTCGATTTTAGGAAAAACGTATTCAGTTGAGGAGAAAATATGTTTTGAATTGAATTTGTAATTGAATTAGAATTGAAATTCACTTTAATCCAACTTCCATTGAATTCACGAGCTTGCAGAAATGTTTGATGTTGATCAGAAGACAATCGACAATCATTTGCGCGAACTAGGAAATGGTGGAAAGACTCTAGACACTCCCGTTGACTCTGCACAACAAAACAACGTTCATAGATCTTCAATTTTTGATTGACGTCGTCTCAACGTCAGTCCTGTAAAGTTAATATGACTTTTCGGATTCGATTTTGACATTTGATGAAACTTGGATTAATTACGAGAATTTTAAAAGGAAGAACAAACAGCTATCTGCCGAAAAAACAATTCCCAAACCTGATATTGATGAAAAGAAAATAATGCTCTGTTGCTCTGTTGCTGGTGGAA